CTTTCATCCCCAATTACTAATTATACAATTACTGAAAAATACATTTTTCATCAGCTTGAACACATCCTTTTACTAAAAGGCACATGTGGTCATTTCAAGGTTTGTCCTTGAAGGTACAATTTTTATTTAATGGCAAAACTTTGGAGCAGTGACCTTCCACCATCTAACACCGCCATCCACAATAATTCACAGTACGTGATAACACACATGTTTAAAGGGCTCATATCATGGAAAACCAAACTTGGAACTTTTTTTTAAACCAAAAAAAACAGTTCCCTATTGTATTCAGCCTAGAGCAATTTAGCCCCACCCACAGCGATGGGAGTTTCTGCTTGGACATCTTATTAACTGGCGCCAGCTACCATTCACCCAAATGGTGGACAGTCCACCTTCAGCACTGACAAGCCACCTGATTGGATGGGGCTTATTACACTGTTTATACACTGATCAGGCACAACATGATGACCACCTCCTTGTTTCTACGCTCATTGTCCATTTTATCAGCTCCACTTACTATATAGGGGCACTTTGTAGTTCTACAGTTACAGACTGTAGTCCATCTGTTTCTCTGCATACTTTGTTAGCCCCCTTTTACCCTGTTCTTCAGTGCTCAGGACCCCCATGGACCCTCACAGAGCAGGTACTATTTGGGTGGTGGATCATTCTCAGCACTGCAGTAACACTGACGTGGTGGTAGTGTGTTAGTGTGTGTTGTGCTGGTATGAGTGGATCAGACACAGCAGTGCTGTTGGAGCTTTTAAACACCTCAGTGTCCCTGCTGGACTGAGAATAGTCCACCAACCAAAAATATCCAGCCAACAGCGTCCTGTGGGCAGCATCCTGTGACCACTGATGTAGGACTAGAGGATGACCAACACAAACTGTGCAGCAGGAGATGAGCTATCATCTCTGACTTTACATCTACAAGGTGGACTGACAAGGTAGGAGTGTCTAATAGAGTGGACAGTGAGTGGACACAGTGTTTAAAAACTCCAGCAGCATTTCTGTGTCTGATCCACTCGTACCAGCACAACACACACTATGAAAGGTTTTCTGACCTACAAGTGAAATCCACGTATCCACCAGTTGGGGTTCGTAAGAATGACAGCAAATGTTTGTTTAAAATGACAGTGTTTCAACATCACTTTTGAAGGTCAGCAGTTTTTAATAGAGCAAAATTTGGGTAGATTCTCCAATCGTTACAGTAAAAATGGTATGTTCCCACACTGCAAACCCGCATTTTCTTTTAACTCAAATAAATTAAGTCAGTTGTACATAAAACTCAGTGTATCCCACACATCGCTCAACAATTTTAAGTTAAGGGAACGTTTTTGATGATTTTGTACACCCAAATGACATTTTTGAGTTGAAATAACTTTTTGCTATTTAGTTTAGTCTGTTGTTATGGCAACGGTTTTATTTGTTTCTTTCTCATGAAAGTTGCTGAACAAATGTGTAAAACTGAGTGAAGCTAAGTAAGCTGTGAAATACAATTACATGTTTGTTTTGTAGACACGATTTTATTAGATAAAACGTATATTTCTTTCCCATTGGCTCCTGGCTCCATCTATTTGCATAGTGAGTGTTTCTTTCCCTTTGTTTTACTCACTGTCAGTGTGCTTTCGTTCCACCCAGGCTGCCTTTCCTCAGGCGAATGTTTTTCAGTGTGTGCCTTATTCAACTGCTTGACATTGTGTTGTTGATCAAGAGTGAAGGTTTTCTTTCTCTTTGCTGATGGGTGGTCATTTGTGTTGGTCATTGCCCACGTTTGCAGTAAGGATTAACTTTGAGGTGTTCGGCACAGTGGTCAATAGCACTTACATAGAGAACAGTTGATTATGGCAACCTACTGTTTAACTGCATTTTCAAGATATTAAATTAAAGTAACTTGAACTTACAAGTTTATGTTAGTCTAACTCAAAAATTATAATTTTTCTAGCTGAAGTTTTCATTACACATCACTTAATTTTTTTTAAAGGCAATGGGTTTTCCCAAATCTTTTAAGTAAATTCAATTCATCCAGGCTTACAGTGCATTTTTCTGATTACAGTTTTTTACTGCTGCTATTTAACAGTATTTCTCTGTAAATTTCAGAGGCATTGTTTACAGCGTAAACCTCTTTCGCTGTGTTTATTCGTAGTTCAGTAAGAGCTCAGGCAGTCTAACGATGTGGCTGAGGAAGCGAGACGTAGTTCGGCCTAGAGCGAGTTCTTAGACAAAAACTCTTGATTTTGTACAGTGTAGCTGTGGCCAAATACAGCCTTTAATAAGGCCCAATGACTTGGGCGTAACCTGGTCTTCTTTAATAGTGGTGAACACTACAGTGTATAGTTTGTTTTCCTCTAACACTTAATTGAGATATGATGAAGGGTGATTTATATTACAAACAGTGTTTTTTGTGATTATTGTTGTGTTTATTGTGTTTGTAACTGGTTTTGCTGAGCGCTGAAGAAACAGCAGAGCAGGAGGAGATAAAGCTGATCTGCTCTCTAATATCAGATCATATGGAGCTATTTTACTGCACTGAACAGCTGCTTTATGAGGCAGTTTACATTCACATTCGGTCATTTGGTGACCTCAGTGCTGAAGGTGCACAGTCGTCTGCTGTTTGTGAAGTACAGTTTGATTATGGGGCTAATTTTGCACTATTAATAGTGAAAGTACTTTTGAAGCTTTTGCTTGTTTATAAATCTGAAAGAAGAAACTAATGGAGAGTTTGGTTGTTTGTTTTGGGCCAGTTGGCTTTTTATTATTCTTGCTGTACGTAAAGCAGGAAGGCTTTGAGTTTTTGAGAGAAAAAAGCCCAATTCGTTTTTAGACATTTCGCCCAGGGTTGCCAGGTTTATTCTATAGTTTTGAGCCAATTCCTGCCAAAATGCGTGATAAAATGCCTAAAAAGTACACAACAAAAAAAGCGTCCATGGTCATTTCAACAATGATAGGAAATAATACAGGCAACAAGACATTGTTCTGGGTACGGTAACAACAACATACAGCAGATAAATATTTATAGTGTTGCCCGACAGCACGGTCAGGCTTTTAAATGTGCTATTTATTTTATGCTTATTTCAGAATCCCTGTAATTTCTGTCATTTATGTAAAACGTACCAACGGTCGAAGAAACTACAAGTAATTTTAAAAGTAAATATTTCTTTACAAGTAAATATTTAATCAATCAATTGTTATTTAATATGTTTGAGTATCTTTTGTCCATAACTTGCAGAGCTCACATAAATTCCTCAGTGCCTTTAATTTACTTTTTTTCCCCTTTTTTTCAAGTGTTGTATATGAAAGGACCCATGATACCATGCAGCCACAAAGACACATGAATAGCGATAATATTATTAACATTGCTATGTCAGTCAAAGTTTTAATACCTGAATGGATGTTGGAAAAAGTCAGGCCTATTGAGTTATTATTATTAGCATTATTATTATTAGCATTATTAGTATTGTTACCCAGAAAGCGAGCATATATCGGTCCACTAGCTTAATAAGGTCGGCACCCCACTGACTTTTTGCCACTGCTGGTCCACCCTCGGACCACCCAGATTACTGTCCTGCAAACAAGCTCTAACTAGTTTTTAATCTTCTTACACAGATTTTAAATGCACAGCGACTTTTATTTTGGAAAATAAACTTAGACAAACATTACAAACAACTGAAGGAAAAAACATAATGACTAGGCCTGATATAAATTTATTAACTTTTATTTATAATCGTTAAAATTATTAAAAAAATATTTACTAAACTAATTTACAAAGTATAAATAAAGGTAGGAAGGAAGGAAAAATAAGTAAACCGGACTGTAAATGGAAAATAAGTGATGGTAAGTGGAATTTTGTCTATGACTCTGCTAAACCACCAGTGGGCCGCCTGGTAAACGCTGAGTGGACCACCAACTTTGCCATCGGTGGGCTGACAGTGGGCCACGATCCTCTGCTATCAGGGTTATTATTATTATTATTACTATTAAGTAATCTGGCAACGCTGGTTTCACCACATTCATTGAGGGTTACTGGCGCCCTCTGCGAAGTTTCCGCTGAAATGGAGCGAATCAGAACTGAGCTGGCTCCCCTTAAACTGGGGCTGAATCTCAAACGGCCATCTACTCCCTACGTAGTGCCCTATATACATCATGACACTTCATGTTTTCTAAACTTGATAGTGCTCTGAGTTTTAGATAGGGAATCGTGCTACTCATATCTGAATATTAATCGCTCTCTATTCGACGTAGAGTGCACTATTTGGGTGTAGAAACCGCTGCTTTTCAACTTACACAGTGCACACTTTATAGTGAGTAGGGATCCATTTGAGACACAGCCTGGTGTCCCCCCTGAGGAGAGGACGTGTTTCACACCGAGCAGCCGTGGCTGACGGAACCGGTACGAGCCGCTCGTAGCTGCATCACAAAAATGTCTTTCTAACAGAAATAAAAGGTGATTTTCATGAAAATGTAAATGTCGGTAGATTCACGGTCACCTGGGAGTGAAATAAAGGTGAAAATGTCTCAAACGCAGCACTTCGAGTCTAACGGCTCTGAAGAGGAGCGGTTGTTGTGGCAACGGGTTAATTATGCAGCTGAGGGATTGTGGGTAAAACAGTGTTTACAACAAAATAAACTGGTTTTTAATGATAAATAAGCCGTGAAAACACAAATCTTTAATGTTTCCAGGTTTACTATAGAAAACCTAGTCAAGCCGAGCTACAAACTGCACTTCCACATGTCCGCGCGCGCCGTTGTTTTTCTCACCACGCGGCGAAAGTAACGTATGAAACGCCGCGATCGAGAGGAAACAGAGAGCGGACTGTGATATAAACGGTGCTCGGGGGTACAAACGCGTTTACCGCGCTGGAGGAAAACTACCGATGTGGCGTTTACAGTGGTGTAGTTTATCTCATCTGAACACACGCGCTCTCAGCGCTGAGGATCAACCGCTCACCATCGGGGTGAATCGCTGTGTGTGGATGGAAGAGTCCTGACTTCAGGGGTGAAAGGTTAAGACTATACTTTCAGGGATCATTTCTATAGTTTCTGACTTGGAAATTTGGTTCGAAAGTGTTACGTCTCTCTAACCACGATGACGAGTTGAAGTGCTTTTTTCTGAGCGTGAATCGGATGAAAAACGATGAATAAAACCATCTGTTTTTTATCATTGATGACCGTTTCTGCTGTGTTTCACAGTTAGAAGGAAGAAAGCATGTTCAGAGCGGTTAGATACATATAAGTTAAAAACAGAATAACTTAATTCATGATTGCTTTATACCCACAGGATTGAAAAGGGTATTGAAATACTACGATGTGTGCTTTAATTCCAGCGATTTTTGTGGTTGTTAGAGGTTCTCATTTGGTTAATATAATGTTTACAGTGTATATCAATGTGGATAAACTCTTGGTAGTGTAATTTATAGACGTTGTAGATCTGCTTTATTGATCATAGATCTGCGCTGGTGTCATTCTGTGATCGAAATAACATGTGGGCATGACATGAGTTACAGAAACAAGAAAGTTATACTGTGGCAATGATTTAGTAAGGTGTAGGAATGAGATAATTAAGGCTTGACCACAGCTTAATAAGGCATGATCTTGTTCCTACGCCTTACTAAGTAGTGGCCACGGATTGCGATATTGTACCCACATGTTAATACAGCGTGGCTACTCGTCATTTGACGTCACCAGCAGAGCTCCGCAGATGATTAACTGTTGTGTGTAAAGTGTGAACAACATGCTTTATTTAGTATGAAGGTAACTGTGATGGTCAGCGTGGTCACGTGCAGAAACACGGCACTGATACCGAGCACTCATTGATTAGCATTACTGCTGCTGAGGGCTGATTGGTTAGCATTACAGCTACTGAGAGCTGATTGATTAGCATTACTGCTGCTGAGGGCTGATTGGTCAGCATCACAGCTGCTGAGGGCTGATTGGTCAGCATTACTACTGCTGAGGGCTGATTGGTCAGCATTACAGCTGCTGAGCGCTCATTGGTCAGCATCACTGCTGCTGAGGGCTGATTGGTCAGCATTACTGCTGCTGAGGGCTGATTGGTCAGCATTACAGCTGCTGAGCGCTGATTGGTCAGCATTACTGCTGCTGAGGGCTGATTGGTCAGCATTACAGCTGCTGAGCGCTGATTGGTTAGCATTACTGGTACTGAGGGCTGATTGGTTAGCATTAATGCTACTTGATTATAACAGCAGCATGTTTTGTAGCATCTATAGGATTAAAATTAAACTACAAAGCCCACAGTTCAGGCCGAATGTTGTAGTCCATTTGATGAATCCCTTGTATAACCAGTATTTCTATCTTTTATGGTCAGTTTCTCATTCAGAGTGAATCTGTGATCGACGTGTTAGAGCTGAATCTTTTTTTGTGTAACTGTAATAATGAGTTTACTGTTGAGTTCATTTACTGTGGCCTTCGGCAGGACGAAGGTGCCTCTCACTCGTCTGAACATCAGAGTTGCTACAGTGTAGACAGTGCACAGCTTCAAGCTCCTAGAAGTGACATCACTGATGAGCTCTTCTGGTCCATGAACATCTCCACCTTAATGAAGACTCAGCAGCACCTCTACTTCCTAAAAAGACTGAAGAGGTGCCCTGTGTTTAGCTGCTTCTACAGGAACTTCATATGGAGCATCCTGACCTGCAGCATCACAGTCTGGAGCAGAAACTGCTCTCTCTCAGACTGGAAAGCACTGCAAAGAGCGGAGAAGACTGACCAGTCAGTCCATCACTGGGTCAAGTTCTCCTGTCATCAAGGACGTCAACCCCAGAGTCTGAGTTAGGTCTTAAATCTGGGATTGAAGTCTTACTGATTACAGATGCTACTTTTCACAAATGAACTAAAAGCTTTGTTCTTAACTGTGAGGCACAGCAGGAACGTTCATTAGCATCAAGGAACGTTCACTGACTGGCTGCATGACTGTGATTGTGAATATCAGCAGAGCAGTATGAGAGCAGAAACCCAATCTGAGGAAACATCTGATCACGCTAAAATGAAACGGATGGATAAAGATCTGCATGTTGAAGAAAAGAAGCTCACCTAAACAGACCAGACTCGGCTGTGGACTGGAGAATTTTACATTCTTAAAAATGATGGCTCTTCAAGGGTTTTTTAGTAAAGAAAATGATTCTATGTAGAACCATGTAGAACCATGAACACTATGTAGAACAATGAACACAAAGATCCCTTGATTATAGGGTTCTTTGCATGGCCTTAGCATTCTTCAGATTGATGGATAATATACTGTAGATGGTTCTATGTAGAACCTTTTTGAAACAGGTTCTATATAGCACCAAAAAGGGTTCTTCTATTTTTATGATTTTTAGTCTGTAACAATAGAAGAACCCTTTTCAAAAAGGTTCTATATAGAACCATCTACAGCATATTTTCCATCAATCTGAAGAACCCTTTTACCATGCAAAGAACCCCTTAATCATGCAAATGCTAAAAGAATCATGCAAAAGAACCCTTGAAGAACCATAAGCGTGTAGCTTGTAGATGAAGATTCCTGACTTTAGAGCTTAGAGGTTAAGACTATACTTTCAGGCATCATTTCTATAGTTTCTGAATTTGATGAGAAAATATTGTGTATTTTACATAAATAAGGAATAAATGTTGTGTGTTTGTGTACAAAAGGTTTTAAACTCTTTTATTTTTAGCTTCACCAAATCATGTGTTCCATTAAATGGGTGTGTTAGGTTTCATGTGTTTTAAAGTAATGTTTTTGTTGGTTATACAGAAATAAAATGTCTACAATTAATATTATTGTATCCAGAAATTAAAGTTTTGTTTGGTGGAAGCCAAATTTGATATGAGATAAATTCATGCAGTTACCTAACCATGAACAGCAGCAGCATAAAGCAAACAAAATGATACACTCACAATAGTTTAATGCTGCACACTGAGCTGTAACAAAAAGAACTTGGACAGCTGGTGTGGTTTACTGACTTGTGTGCAGCTGCACCGAGCCAGGGAGCTAACATAGCAGCTAGCAAGCTGGCTATCTCACTTACCATGAACAGCAAAAGATCTAATTCAGACAAGCATTTCACACCAAACCACTCTGAATGACTTTGTTAACATCTTAATCAATACATTTTGAGTCTTCATTCATTTGGCCATTGGAACATGTTTAATTACATTGAAATTCGAAAAATGAATCATTCAGAAATTGGATTTATAAGCAATCGTAAGACCATTTTGCGGCCAAATAAGTACGTTGAAACCTAAGAACACTGGCATCCTCTGGTTAACTCAGACTCAATCTCAAATGGCTTCCTCCTTCCTACGTAGTGCACTGTATTCATCATGAAACTATGTCTTCTACACCAAACAGGAAACTAGATGTTATATAGTGAGTCATTCAGCTTACAGCTGATAGCTTTCTGTTCGACATATAATGCACTATTTGTGGTTAAAAGCTGTTACTTCAGGACCTACATAGTGTCAGAGTCGTAGCCAAGGGCTGGCTGAGGTGGCCAGTGCCACCCTGGAATAAATGCCTGCCCTTCTGGCCACCCCAGTTATTGAAAGTGAGACAGTCAGCCATCATAAAGCAGCAATTATGCTTTGTAGTGAAAATCTGCTAACAGGGTAGTTATCGATCAGTTGTGTTTAACAGTTGGCATGTCTTCCTATGGCTGGCTGATTTACTCAGTGAACGAGTGAATGTGTGCTGGGTTCTAGGTTGCTTTATACAGTGCTGTCTACTACTAAGGCCTGTCTGTTTGAAATGTTTAGTCATAATATTTTGAGAAAAAAGTCGTACTATTTCGAAAAAAAGTCGTAGAATTACGACATTAAAGTGACATTAAATACCAGGAAAGGTCTCAATATTGAGGCCAAAGGCTTTGCGAAGGGAAGGCAGCGCCTCCTCGTGTTAAATGAGGGGCGGTTAGTTGGGGGTGTTCTACTTTCATATCGATTCACCCCTAAAGAAACACTCAGTCTCCCTGTCTCTCCTGCACATCAGCACCAGCCTGTTATTAGTACAAGAACCGGCTGAAACGGCTGAGCAGGAAACCGTGTTTATCTAGAATAAAGAGCCAGACGGACTCGGAGGAAACTGTCTGTCTGTGTTGTTGAAGGAGAATCGCAGGCAGGGTCGTCTACAGGGCTATTGGGGGCTACATCCCCCCCCATTCAAAGAGGGAATGGAGTTTCACAGACAATGAGAATGATGATCAAAATGATCCACAGAGAGACAGGAGTGAGTGGAGCTCCGGCGCCAGTACAGCAACCGAGACCCCAACGCGTTATGGCAGCCCCCCTACAGTTAGCCCCCCTACAGTTAGCCCACTTTATCCTCCAAATATTACGACTTGATTCTCATAATAAAACGACTTTATTTTTAAGTACAACTTTTTTCTCTAAATATTACGACTTTTACCTCGAAATAGTGCAACTTTTTTTTATCGAAGCCTACTATTTTTATTTTTATCAACAGTGGCCCTAAAACACCATCCTATGATACAGTGACACTGTTTTTTTGTTTTTTTTTTTCTTAACAGTCCCCCCCCTGTAAAATCCCTGGGTCTTACCTGGCCGCCCCATTCTAAAAGCTCCAGCTACGCCCTACACAGCCTGGTGCCTGTTATACAGCGAGCGGACCGTCCTCCGGAACTCTAGGAGAGAGAGGACGTGTTTCACACCGAGCAGCTGTGGCTGATGGAACCGGTACGAGCCGCTCGTAGCTGCATCACAAAACTGTCTTTCTAAGAGAAATAAAAGGTGATTTTCATGAAAATGTAAATGTCGGTAGATTCACGGTCACCTGGGAGTGAAATAAAGGTGAAAATGTCTCAAACGCAGCACTTCGAGTCTAACGGCTCTGAAGAGGAGCGGTTGTTGTGGTAACGGGTTAATTATGCAGCTGAGGGATTGTGGGTAAAACAGTGTTTACAACAAAATCAACTGGTTTTTAATGATAAATAAGCCGTGAAAACACAAATCTTTAATGTTTCCAGGTTTACTATAGAAAACCGAGTCAAGCCGAGCTACAAACTGCACTTCCACATGTCCGCGCGCGCCGTTGTTTTTCTCACCGCGCGGCGAAAGTAACGTATAAAACGCCGCGATCGAGAGGAAACAGAGAGCGGACTGCGATATAAACGGTGCTCGGGGGTACAAACGCGTTTACCGCCCTGGAGGAAAACTACCGATGTGGCGTTTACAGTGGTGTAGTTTATCTCATCTGAACACACGCGCTCTCAGCGCTGAGGATCAACCGCTCACCATCCGGGTGAACCGCTGTGTGTGGATGGAAGAGTCCTGACTTCAGCGGTGAAAGGTTAAGACTATACTTTCAGGGATCATTTCTATAGTTTCTGACTTGGAAATTTGGTTCGAAAGTGTTACGTCTCTCTAACCGCGATGATGAGCTGCGATACTTCTTTCTGAGCGTGAATCGGATGGAGAATAATGAGTAAAATCATCCGTTCTCCATCATTGATGAACGTTCCTGCTGTGTTTCACAGTCAGGAGGAAGGAGGTATGATCAGAGTGGTTAGTTTATTAAATACATGTAAAACGTCAGATAAAGCAATGAAAATTCATAAACAAAAAGAACGAGTACAGTGAGTATCTCGTGTGTTTGGTGATATGCTATAGACATCCCACACATTAATGGGGAGCTCAATTAACAGTTCAGTCGTTTATATCAGTGTTAATTAAAATCAAGTTCTAGATTATTCATAGGCTGTTAATGTATTAATAAACACGCCGTTCTCATAAGTTAAATATTGTATTAAATTCACTACCATCAGAAATTTACTGGTACTTTAATTCACTGCCTTTTAAATTCACTGATAATCTGAAATCCACTCCCAACTTAAATTCAGTACCAAGTAGTTCTATTGGTATTCAAGGTGTTCGATAAAATGTTAATTGTTTGTAATGGAGCTCCAGGTTATTTCTAAATTATTGCTATGCGAATGAATACACTGCTTCTTTAAATGGAGTGCTCCCTTATGTCCACTGTCACCTTAAATTTACTGATACCTTAAATCGATGCCGCTTAAAACTCATCGCCACCTTAAATTTACTGCCATCTTAAATGCACTGCCACCTTAAATTTACTGTCTTCTCAAATCTACTCACACATTAAATCTACTGCCACCTTAAATTTACTGATACCTTAAATCGCTGCAAGCTTAAATTCACTGCCACCTTAAATTCACTGATACTTTAAAATCCACTCCCACCTTAAATTCACTGCCACCTTAAATTTACTAGTAAGTTAAATCTACTGCCACGTGAAATCCACTTCTATCTTAAACGTACTCGCACATTAAATCTACTGCCACCTTTAATTTACTGATACCTTAAATCGCTACCGGTTTAAATTCATTGACACCTTAAATTCACTGCTACCTTAAATCTACTGCCACTTTAAATTCAGTGTTACCTTAAATTTACTGCCACCTTAAATTTACTGATACCTTAAATTCACTGCCACCTTGAATTCAGTGCTACCTTAAATGCAGTGTCACCTTAAATCCATTATTTGTGCTGATATTGCTGTGCATAAGGATGTAAGTGTGAGTCTGTGTGTACTTTGTGTGAGTGTCTGTGTGGGAGATGTGCATTGTGACATCACTTGTAGCAGATAGACTTGAATGTCCTGAACATTCCACCCAATTATTTCCTATGTGAAAAAAATATTGTGTTTGAACAATCATTTTATGAAAACTATGTTGGATTGCTTAGAAAAGCACAAGCACACTCTTCAGGTATGGGTTCTATGATCCTTTAATTGTTCTAGTGGGAAGAGAAACATTTTATTTTTATTTTAAATAATGATAAGAAGATTACAAAGAACAGTAAGTTGGCTTAATAATTTTACAGGTGTTTGTGTAAGTTAGTGTTAGTTAGTCATTCAGAGGGGTTTGGTTTGAAATGGTTCAGATTTCTTTACAGTGGTGGTGATAGGAACCAGGGTCGCCATGACTACAACCCAAACATAGACATTTTATGTACTATGCAAAACAACCAGTGAACCTACGCAAGTCATCCAATAGAGTTTCCAATAGAGACCACTAATTTCCTGTAGCACACCTTTAGATCCCATTAGGAAACCATCGAATGTATTTAGAATCAGCCATTAGTCACTTGTTAAACTATTAGGATCCAATACTTTGTGAAATCAACCCATTAAAAAAGCCACAACACATTACAAAACCGTCATGAACCAACAGAAACACTTAGAGGTCTGCTGTCTGGTGTGGCGGTGTGCACACATTCTCCAGAAACAGAGGGGTGGAAAGAAAAGTAGTACCTGTTCAACATTTGCCACATACTTTTTTCACTTTTTAGCAGTAATTCCACATCACAGATCAATAGAAATTCAGATTAGTGCTTTAAGAAAATGTCTATATGTCCATATATAACATAAAAGTGGTCAATCAGTGGGATTGATGAGTACTGTATGAACACTATACAACATTACCAGATGAATTTCAGTAACCTTTATCATCCACTTCTTTATTTATTGTGATTGTCATCTGGCGTTCTTGTGTATATATATATATATATATATATATATACGGTTGCTGTCAGAACAAAACCAGAACAAAATCTACAAAATGGTAAATTTACTTTTATTGTAAGTCAATGGAACCAGACTTTTTTCCAAGTAATTTGGGGTCATTTCTTTTAGTCCATTCATTATGAAATTTACACACAATGTAAAGGGCAACGGACATTTTCAAATCATGTCAAAAACTGAAAATTGACAAAAATAGACAGCAATATATGATGTGTGAATCTTATGTTTTGTTTTATGTGCATGTTTTTCCTATTACCTAATACTCTTTACTTTTTAATATTTTTTTATTTTATGTTGGGAAACTGTTTCTGGCTTTTTGTCTGGAAAACCACTACACAAAAAAACTTACCTACTTTCAGAAGCTGTCAGGAGCTCCTCCCACCCCTGAACCACGTGAACACAACACACAGCGACGTAAAACACATTGCAGAGATGATGCAAACTCAACACAGAGCTGCTTTAAGGGGAGCCTGGCCACTTGCTGTTTCTCCTGTCATCTCAGCATCATCACTATGAAACGCCAGAGGGCGCCTGTGAGCGAGTCCTGAATGAATGGGGGTGAATGGAGCTAAAAAGCTAAAAATAAAAAGCTTAAATTGTTTCTAACCACTTGAACATGATCTTTCTTTATTTTAGAAAGTTGAAGGATGTACTTCACTTAAAAAAGCACAGAAAACATTGGTTAGCATTACTGCTACTGAGCACTGACTGGATAGCATTACTGCTACTGAGCACTGATTGGTTAGCATTACTGCTACTGAGCACTGATTGGTTAGCATTACTGCTACTGAGCGCTGATTGGTTAGCATTACTGCTACTGAGCACTGATTGGTTAGCATTACTGCTACTGAGGACTGATTGGTTAGCATTACTGCTACTGAGCGCTGATTGGTTAGCATTACTGCTACTGAGGGCTGATTGGTTAGCATTACTGCTACTGAGCGCTGATTGGTTGGCATTACTGCTACTGAGTGCTGATTGGTTAGCATTACTACTACTGAGCGCTGATTGGTTAGCATTACTGCTACTGAGGGTTGACTGGTTAGCATTACTGCTACTGAGGGCTGATTGGTTGGCATTACTGCTACTGAGCGCTGATTGGTTGGCATTATTGCTACTGAGTGCTGATTGTTTGGCATTACTGCTACTGAGCGCTGATTGGTTAGCATTACTGCTACTGAGTGCTGATTAATTAGCATTACTGCTACTGAGTGATGATTGGTTGGCATTACTGCTACTGAGTGCTGATTGGTTAGCATTACTGCTACTGAGTGCTGATTGGTTAGCATTACTGCTTCTCAGTGCTGTCCGAATTCTTTTGCGCTCACTGATGTCACAAACTTACATGAGGTGCCGTTATAAAGTCCTATAAATGGAGCTCAAAAGCGCTTAAAGCTGTAACAGCAGTGACAATGAATGAATTATCCTTTTAAAAAATTGTTTAAATATGATGTTTTTCACACGCTCCCTCTTAACCCTCGCTCGGGAGCGCCCTCTAGCGTCGGAGAAACCCGGAACACGTTGCTGAGTGGCCGCTCTCCTCTCCACACGCTCTCTACGCAGCACGCGGTGACGAGTTCACCTCCTCCGTCTCGGCTTTTCTGGATCTTCTGCGTGTTTACTTCAGCTCCAGGCGCTGTAGCTCAACTCTGAGGGCCACCGACTTTCTCCTCGGCGTCATTACTCGCCTTTGAGCTGTTATAAGCGCCGTATTTTCTCCTCTTGTGTGATGTGATCATGTCGGTCAGGGAGCGCTGCTAATAATCAGTCGTCAGATGCGAGGTAACTAAACCACGGACTGCTAGCTTAGCTTAGCTGCTCAGCGCCTCTAAGGACGATTTCTGGCGTTTTAACTTCATTTCTCTCTCTCATTTCAGGATGAACTGGATTTTTCCCCCCTCCAAGGGCTCTGGAGCGATCCCCCCTCCTCTGAACAGCTTACAGAAACAGAGGCAGCGGCAGGTCGAGTCCCTCAGAGCCGCTCACTCCAGGTGAGGCTCGGGGGTTGTTTTGGTTAGCCTCAGCTAGCGTTAGCTCGCTGGCTAAGTAAGTAAACACCGGGGGGAAACGCCGTTTTCGGCAGCGTTACTTCGCCTCCTTTGCTCAGCCGTGTCTGATTTGTTATAACAGCAGTGTTGACATCGATTTCGTACCGAGACGGCGCTGGTGAAAACAGGAGAGGAGCGTTGTAGAAAGTGCTGACTAACTAGCAGCCGGCTAACCCTGCTGGCTGTCTCAGAATGCCGCGTTACCAACCGTGTTCCTCAGATTAAAGTATTAGTTCTGCACTGTTTGTACCGAGATGCCGAGTAAAAGCTCACAATCCCTTCTTAAACCAGCTGCCTGAGGCGGGTCAGACCTGCGGGAGTCTTTTTTCCGCCACTGGAAAAAATATATAGCCTTTTAGTAATGCAGGATAAAGAGAAAGTTTACGTAGGAACGACAAGTAATGACTGAATGTCCCTTAATAACGAGAACATTTCCTCACAATTATGAGATATTAAGTCATTATGAGAAAGTAAGTCATCATTATGACACACTATGGTGTTATATACATTTTATTATGTTGATGTTATACTATAAATGTATCTTGTGTGTGTATGTATATACATATATATGATGTATATGATATAATGTGTGTATGTGTATATATATATATATATATATATATAATGTGTGTGTGTGTATACATAAATTTTGAGATACTAAGTCATAATTCGAGATAGTAAATCATTATTATGAGATACTAAGTCAATGTTAGACAAAATCACTGATATGTTAAATCATAATTATGATATTCAGTCATAATTTGAGATAGTAAGTCATTATTATGAGATACTAAGTCACTACTATGAAACACTAAATCACTATGATATATTAAGTCATAGTTATGTGATTCAATCCCATTGTTAAGAGAAAGTAAGTCATAATTTTGAGATACCAAGTCATAATAGTGACAGAATAATGAGGGGCAAAGTCATTATTATAATATATATAGTCATAATTATAAGATTGAATCTTTATTATTGTGAGATAAGTGTGACATGGTAAGCCATAATTATGAGATTAAATCTTGTTATTATGAGATGCTAAGTCATAATTATGAGACAGTAAGTTGTTATGAGGCATTAAATCACTGTGATAAATTAAGTCATTATTATGAGATTGAATTTCATTATTATGAGATACTATGTCATAATTTGAGAAAACAAATCATTGTTATGAGATGCTGTGTCATTATTGTGGAAAACCATCTCATTATTATGACTTACTAAATGGGTATATATTTTTTTCCAGTGGCTGAAATGGGCTTTTATATGTCAGACCTAAAGACAAGTTTTAATTTAGGAGTTTAGCTGCAGAGATTATTAGGCTTGATTGTTATCTGTTATCTGTTATCTTTTTTTAATTTCTGGATAATTAAATGTTTAGTGTTTCTACAAAATCATTCTGAGTGCTTTGGCGTAAAATACTTTGTACTAGAGAAACTTACAGAGTCAGAATGTATTATGCCAATGTATTATTATATTTGCATTGTAGACATCGGGACCCCTGGTTCCTATCACCACCACTGTAAAGAAACCTGAGTCGCTACAATCAACCATTTCACACCAAACCACTCTGAATGACTCTGTTTACATCCCAGCCACTAACTTACACAAATGAAAGTGAATTTAAGGTATCAGTAAGTTTAAGGTGGCAGTAAATTTAAGGCTTCAGTAAATTTAAGGTAGCATTGAATTTAAGGTGGCAGTAAATTTAAAGCAGAAGTGGATTTAAGGCAGTACTGTTCCACTGATTTAGTATAATATTGACTTAGTATCTCATAATAATGATTTACTATCTCAAATTATGACTTAGTGTCTCATAATTATGAGATTTAATATTAAAACTATGACTTAATATATCATAGTGATTTAGTGTCTCATAATATTGACTTAGTATCTCATAATAATGATTTACTACCTCATATTATGACTTAGATGTCATGATTATGAGATACTAATATCATAACTATGACTTAATATATCAGGGATTTAGTGTCTCATAATATTGACTTAGTATCTCATAATAATGATTCATTATCTCATATTATGACTTAGTATCCCATGAGATTCAGTATCATAACTATGACTTAATATATCCGTGATTTAGTGTCTCATAATATTGACTTAGTATCTCATAATAATGATCTCAAATTATGCAGAGGTGGATTCAAGGCAGCACTGAATTTAAAGTGGCAGTGAATTTAAGGTATGAGTAAATTTAAGGTGGCAGTGGGTTTAAGGTAGTAAATTTAAGGTGCCACTGAATTCTGTGTATCGGTAAATTTAAGGCATCTCAAACTGAATTATGCAGAAGTTTAAAAAAATAAAACAGTGGAATTCCCCCTTAAAAGTTCAGCTTGCTAACTAACGTGTTAGTGTTTTAGGACAGTGCGCATGCAGTTATTTAGATTAGGACTGTGTTTTGTCATCAGAGGAGTCCAGACTCCTGAAGGGCCTCAGCTTTGGACATACTGGTCATACGTTCATAAGTTGAGTGTTGCTTAAATCTAGGAAAACCCTGAAACAGCCTGGAACTGGTGAGCATTTGTCACTCACTTTCCCAAAAGCATTGCAGGCTTAAAGGGAAATTCCACCAACTTTTCAATACTTAAGAATAATTTAACCACTATTTGTATAAACAGAGTCATTCAGAGTGGTTTGGTGTGAAATGGTTGATAGGAACCGGGGGTCGCCACGACTGCAACACAAATATAGACATTTTATTTACTATCCAAAACCACCAGTAAACCTACACAAGTCTTGGCCTCACAACCCATCCACCAAGACTGGATTTTTTGAAAAATAGATTTTAAGCCAAAGAGATTTTGTAAAATGTCTCATAAAACAGTGTCTCAGACATCAGGCAGTGAATTCATAACCGTTTCATGTAATAACTTTCTGTGAGGGAGCTTTTAGAGGCGTTAACCTCTTCAGACATCTGGTTCCTATCACCGCCACTGTATTCAGACTGTGAACAATTTAAACGCCTCTGAGTGACTTTACAGCTGAGTCGTTTAGTTTGAACATCTGAAATACGAATTGTTTAATTATGTAGACTTTTTTGAATCATTGGGATTAAAAAATAATGTAATTATAAATGGTAAGACTGTGAGAAGTGATGGCAGTCCTCTAGTAGTTTGTGTCTGTCTGTATATGTGATGACTGACATATGAAATGTTTGCTCCAGTATTGCAGAGATCCAGAAAGATGTGGAGTACAGAATTCCTTTCACGGTCAACAATTCGACCATCAGCGTCAACATGTGAGTACATGTGAAATATTTCAAAATAATCAAATATTTTATCAACCGAATCAGTTTGAGGATACAGTAAAAGCTAAAACATAAACGTACGTAGTAAACTGGACTTGATGTAGTCCAGTGATAAACAAATTCACCACAGCAGCAGCTGGAAACAACTCTAGATTATATCAGCAACACACAGCGCACTGCAGCCGGGCTTCAACCTGCATGACTGTGACTGATTCAAAGGGTCAAACAAGGAAAAAGCATTAAAAAGTGTGGTGTTAGTAACTGAATATTAGCTTCGACAGCACTAATACTTAATGATGTTTACGTCTGCATGAATAGAGATAGATAGGTACAGACAACGTATATATATGTATATATATACATATATATATGTGTGTGTGTGTGTGTGTGTGTATATATATATATATATATATATAGATATAGATAGATAGATAGATAGACAGATATATATGTAGATATAGATAGATAGACAGAGAGACAGACAGAGAGACAGACTGACAGATAGATAGATACTTTATTGATCCCAAAGGAAAGTTACCAGCCAGTAGCAACTACACCAGACAGTTATATTAACAAGGGTGATACAATATTAAAAGAAGAATATATACAAAAAAACCTGTCTATAGGCATATATACAACTAGGGATATACAAAAATATGCAGTAAGATCTATCCTGAGATAGATTTTTCAGTTTTTGACATAATTTGAAAATATCTGTTATCTTTATGTGTAAATTTCATGAGGGATGGACTAAAAGAAATGACCTAAAATGACTTGGAAAGAGGTCTGGTTCCATTGACTTACATTAAGAGTCAAGTGTGTTTTGTCCTTCTCCTGTAAAGTTACCAGCGATATAATAACAGCGATATAATGGTACTGAAATAAAGTATGTAAATGTATGTAAGTATATAAATAAGCATGTAGAAGTATTTATGTTCTGTTGTAACTTGTGCCTTTCTTCCTCTCTGTGTAGTTTGCTTCCACCACAGTTCCCTCAAGAAAAGCCTGTGGTCACAGTGTATCCGCCTGTGGGTCATCATTTAGTGGACAGTAACAATGGTACCATGGTCACCAGCCCCCTCATTACTAACGTATGTCTTTTACTCCTCTGGGATGATTTGTCACATGAATTGCATGATGCTGTATGAAATGAATGGAGGGATTTCTTAATGCTGTATTATCTGTGTTGTTTCTTCAGTTTGGAATGCACTCCGATCTCGGAAAAGTAATCCAGAGCTTGCTGGATGAGTTCTGGAAGAGTCCACCAGTTCTAATGCCCGGCGCGCCCTCGTTCCCCTTGTGAGTAGCCGTGAACTGAAGTGTACAGACCTTAATGTGTGGACATTTATGTGAGTTTTCTCAATGTTTATAGTATTTTTTGCTGCGTTTCTCTTTCACGATGCTTTATTCTAGCATGTACAAGCCGTCTGCGATGCCCCCCTACCCCACCCAGAACTTCCATTTCGTCCCTGCCTTCCCGGCGCAGGACAGCCAGCGGCCCATGGTTCCCGCCCCTGTGCCGCCCTCCCAGGGGGTGGAGCTTCAGCCGCCCCAGCCACGCCCACCCGTACCAGCTTACGGGCTCATCACGGACCTTCCGCTACCTGTGCCCACCTCTGACTCACAGGTACAGACCTGCACAGGGGTCTCTTAATCCTGAACGTACATAATATGGTTAATTCCAGAGATTTTTCAAAATGTCTCCGTAATTAAATGCAAACAGTCATTCGGACTTGTTTAACGTGAAGTTCTCCACTGTGGAGAAAGTTACCGAGTCAGAACTGTTCACAGTGGGGGTGATAGGAACCAGACGTCCACCTTTAAAAGCTCCTTCACAGAAAGTTATATGAAATGGTGATGAATACGTTGCCTGATGTCTGAGACGCTGTTTTACGATAGTTTTGAGAAAATCTTAATTGTACTCTTTTAACATGTTGTCGCTGTCAGAACAAAACCTTGCATCTCTGAAGTAGTAATTTCAGGAGAAATTCAGCAAAAATATAATTCAATGTGCAAAAAAGGATAATAAATTACAATACTGAGGACAGAAGTTGTGGAGAGGTGTCAGCAGGGTATTGTAAAGTATTATAGACTTTGTTTTTATACTATTTGTTATAATGAACAAGTGGTGGTGATGGGAACTAGACGTCTGAAGAGTTTGATATCTCTAAAAGGTCCTTCACAGGAAATGATTACATGAATTGATCATGAATACACTGCCTGAGATGTCTGAGACATTGTTTTATGATAGTTTTGGTCAGTGATCTTTAATAGACTTAATTACGTGTTTATGTTGACACTGTATTATGTACCGTTATCTCTAAAAAATTGACCAAAAAACATGGTACGGTCTCATTAGTAGTAGTAGTACAGTTCTCATTCATCTGCTGAGTCAACACTTACTCCAGATCTTTCTGTTCTTTTCAGACGGGGCTAAACGGGCACATGTACAAGATGCCCGAAATCCCAGAATCGTTTCCTGAACTGTCTGAGATGAGGTAAGGAAAATTGTGGCTTGTGTCATTTATTTATTTCTGTTTTTAACACAGGTTCAGAATGAATCACTTGTCATATTATTTGATTTTGTTTAGTAATAACTTTTACAGTGTAGGTTGAGATACTATAAGCTGAACACCAGAAGGTGTTTAAAAGCCTCACCATGTAAGATTTATTTGTTACAATGTAAAGAAGTAGTATTACGCTAAAATATAGGGAGTGTGCGCTGCTGCGAGTTGCCCAGTAAAGTAGAGCTCTGCGTGGGACTGTTTTTTCAGCCCTGCTCCCGCCCGATTTCATTCCACTCCCGCAGAAAATCTGAATCATTTCTCTCGCTGCCCGCCCGCGCAGTCCCGCACACATCCGATATCTGACACAGTCTAATCACAAGTCCATTATCCTCTGCTGAAATAACACGGCAGTCGTGGTCATCAGGCTCACTGTGAAGTAACTTCACCAAACGCCATTTATTCCCAGTAAACACAAAGCAGGAATTAAACCACAGAGCGTTTTTTTGGTGTTTTGCTGGGCAGTTGTGGCCGTCAGATGAAGGCTGCGCTGTCTCTCTAAGGCCTCTCTAACACATTCTGCCTCTGCGTGGCGTGAGTGAAGCGGCAGCGCAAGCTCTACAGCTTGAACGCACTGGCCTTCCATACGTACAGCGTTTGAGCTGCGGAGCAGCGAGAAAGTTATACAGACTTTCTTGTTTTCAGACGGATAGATGGTCACTTCAGTCACTCTGCTTAATAAAAATATAATTTATAAAAATACACGGTATATTTTTTATCCTGGACAGCATCCTGACTTCTGATTAGGAAAAAGTTTCAAGCCTGAATGACATAAAAGTTGTCTTTTAACCTTTTTATACGGTCTTCTGATTAATTTTTATTTATTTTCATGGCTTATTTCAGTATATTTAGCTGCGTGATGCGTGAGGCACGTGGAAAAAATCGGCCCCAGGTCAAGAATGACTTTATTCGTTTTAACTGTTTTACTGTTATCACTTTATACTGTTTACATGTATATTTTAGTGATCGTTCTACTTCATTTAGGCTATTCATTAATTTGCAGGATTTGTCTATATGCATGCTTCTAGTACAAGTGAGCATGTTATCGGATCGATACCCGATACCAGTGTTGGTATCGATGCGTTCACATGTATTAACGTCACCGCATAGCCTTAGAAAGAAGGTCCAGCTGGATGTTTAGGTCTTAACTGATCTTAAAGTCAACATTATACTGATGAATTATTGACAACAGTAGATAGTTCACTCACGTCCTCAGAGGACCAGTTTTGGCTGAGTTCTCTGCCAATAATCTTTCAGTGCTCTCACAATCTGATTCATCCATTCGGGGAAGTGAGTCTGAAGCACAACCCACACTACAAAATGTTCTTCCACACCCTCCATGCAGTAACGCATTTCCACCAGAGAGGTCTCCAAATCCCCAAAACGTACACAGTGCAAATTTAAGATGTTTTATTCAGTAATTCAGTCTAAAGCTTATTAAATGATCAGTAGTAATAGTGATTGTGATGTCTTGAGAAGTTAGAGCTTTGATCACCACTTTTCAAACAGAGCCCTGTTCATGGTTCACAACACATCTAACATTTCTACATTTTTTCTACACTTTTATAGCTTCTATAAGTTTGTTGAAACCTGTTAAGTTATAGAGCAGTAGTTTTAGAATTATTTTACTCGTGCATCTGCAACAATTTTTTTTTTTTAGTACTGAAGACAGTGGTTCCAGGCTTTTGAACATGGTAAAACTTCCTTGCAACTAATTGCATGTTGTGAGTTGCCTGCAACATAATTTGTCTGCACATTAACAGCTACACACACAGCATCGCCTTATCAACAAGACGATAAACACGTTTTATTTTCTTGTCTGTTGATTCAGTAGACGTTTTAAAGTGTGCTGTTTGTGTGCTGTTTCATGAGGTTGAGACACTTGCAACTGTTTCAAATGAGTTGCAGGAAGCTGAACGTTATGCAACTCAAGTGCAATTTAGTTTCATGTAAGTTTCAAGCAATTGATGTTACATGAAGGGTTCACTGTGTAAAGCCAACCCAAGTCGTGCTGATGTTTTAGTGATGGGTTCTGCTTTGTTAAATAAACACTGTGCTAATCTGGCCTGTTTATGTTTGCGCCCCTGTCTCCCTGCAGCGTGTCTCAGCTGAAGGATATGAATGAAAATGATGATGTTCTGCTAGAGTTCTTCGCCTCTCTGCCCCAACTCAAGCAGATCTCCTCCGATAAAGAAGATTTGGTCAACAGTATCGTTGCTTTGGCCAGTAAGTGAAGATAGTTTGTATCATTCTGGAGTTTACTGCACTCTTAAAAAAGAGTTCTTCCAGGGTCCTTTAGTAAAGACAGTGGTTCTGAACAGAACCATGAACCCTCAAAGAGCTCTTTACATGGTTCTATACAGAACATTTTTGGAAAGTGTTCTATAAAGCACTGAAAAGGGATCTACTGTTGTTACAAGCTTGATATTGTAGCAGTAGAAAACCCTTTTCGGTGCTTTACTGAACCCTTTTCAAAAATGTGCTATATTAAAGCAGTAAGCCACTCGAGGCCGTGGATTACTGCAATTTTATCACAGGGAAGGGTGTTGTTAGGCATGACACGAAGCGGAGTAAAACTCCCTTCCCCATGATAAAATCACAGTAACCCACGGCCTCGAGTGGCTTATTGCTTTTATAAAACGGCAGCCAACATAAAATACATTAAAATACACAATGTTTTAGATAATTAGTTAACTTATTATTAATAATAACCAACATAAACAAGTATTCCGCCAAGAAATGTAGTTCCTTTAGAGTACGGTATCATTTGCTAATCAACCATTGACCACTGAATGAGGAGAAGAACGTTCAGTCGCCAGTCACTGTAAATTAAACTGCAGACGTTTCATGATTTTTAAAACTTTTTTCTGTTTAATACAAACGCTTTCAGTTTATAAGCACTTTCTGGTCACCAAATCACCACCGTGAGTCTTCTGTCAGTCTGACGACGCCACTTTTCTCACGCTGGGGCTGAATCTCAATACTGACCTGCAGCCCAACAATGCAAACAATGCAAAATATCGCTAAAAGTGTTCATTTGGGATTCATCCACATTCAGACTCGACAGACAGTGCAGAATCTGACAGCAGAAGCCAGAATTTCTAAACTTAATGTTACACAGCTGACTATTTATCTAGGGAGTACGGAGCCGTTTGGGACTCAGCCTGGGTTTGATGCGATTTCTGACACGCACGGATATTTGAAGTGTGTGAGACATTCAGGTGACATTCTTTAGTCTTTTATATTGCCGCTTTTCAGTGAATCACATTGTGAGTGCTTTAATTCAAGCCTGTGATATTAATGTTGGAGTTGTTTAGCATGTTTGCTATCTTTTAGCCTGTTAGCTAGCTGACCAGCTGAGTTCTAGATAAGAACATAAGTCGCCAGCCCCTCAGTTTAAACAAAAAATGGGTTCTTACTTCATCAGTGCACTCGGTGCTCCGTGCGAGCAGCATTAGAGTCAAAGATTATTCATTAACAGCAGAAGGGTTTTTCAGTGGTGCAGAGTTCAGTTGCGGTGAGGCGTAACAGCCGTGGTGTATTGTGGATTTTACAACGGCTTCGAACACGGCTCAGCCAATCAGATTTCAGGACCGGAACACATTCTCCATCAGTCTGAAAGACCTTTTCACGATGCAAAGAACATCTGTCTTGCAAATTGATCTTTGAGTGTTTCTGCTTCTTTATGGAACCGTTTTCATTACTACAGAATCCTTGGAGAGCCATCTTTTCTGAGTGTATAGGAGACACAAAAGTTGATCTAAAGTCAAAATCTAAAGTCAGCCTGAAACCGAAGTGACTTTTTAACCTTGTTATTTTGTGTCCCTGACCATATTAGACAATTATCACATAATTTAAAAGACAGTTCTTGTTTTTCTGTAATCTTCCATTTAAATTTAATGACTTTTCCATGTATTTCTGATGACGTTAGCATTAGTGGTGTAACGTTTCATTCATTTTCTTGAGGCATTGTTTAGAATTCCTCCCTCATCCTGCATTGAAATAATACTGAATCGAATAATACTGCATCCCTTGTCAAGCCAACTTAATAAAGGACAGATACTTGAAGAAGTGCTTAAAAATACATGATGAAGTACCTGTACTTTGTTACTATACACCACTGCTGTTAACTCAGTTTTAAATCTGATCTTTGTGTTTGTGCAGAAAAAAACCTGCAGCTCGAGCCTCAGCTGGAGGGTAAAAGACAAGAAATCCTGTTCAAAGTGAGTCCAGACTTACAGAAACACGCCTTTCTTATAATAATAATGGAATTTGTCTGTCATTCCTGCAGTAAAATACAGTGCTTATTTTTTGAGTGTTATAAAGTTATTAAGTATTCATGAATAATGTTAATAAAATGAGTTTCGTAATGAGTGTTAAATGGGTCATAAACACCGTAAATGTCATGAATAGGCAGGTGTAGCACATAAAGAAAAGGACAGCAGTGGCCTATTATATCTCCCTGAAAATTAAAGCTAATTAGCATATGCTAATGAACCCATAACCATTCCTCCTCCAATCAGGCTAATGGAGTTTTTAAACACTGTGTCCACTCACTGTCCACTCTATTAGACACTCCTACCTTGTCAGTCCACCTTGTAGATGTAAAGTCAGAGACGATAGCTCATCTGCTGCTGCACAGTTTGTGTTGGTCATCCTCTAGTCCTTCATCAGCGGTCACAGGACGCTGCCCACAGGACGCTGTTGGCTGGATATTTTTGGTTGGTGGACTATTCTCAGTCCAGCAGTGACACTGAGGTGTGTAAAAACTCCAGCAGCACTGCTGTGTCTGATCCACTCAGACCAGCGCAACACACACTAACACACCACCACCACGTCAGTGTTACTGCAGTGCTGAGAATGATCCACCACCCAAATAGTACCTGCTCTGTGAGGGTCCATGGGGGTCCTGACCACTGAAGAACAGGGTAAAAGGGGGCTAACAAAGTATCAGAGAAACAGATGGACTACAGTCTGTAACTGTAGAACTACAAAGTGCACCTATATAGTAAGTGGAGCTGATAAAATGGACAATGAGCGTAGAAACAAGGAGGTGGTCATGATGTTATGCCTGATCGGTGTATGTTGAAAAAGATATGGGGGACATTTTCCCCTTGCAGAAGACCACCCCCACCCGTAAGTTTGAGAAAAGCCTCCGACCCCTGGTTTAAGTAATAATGGGTAGTAATCTTGGCTCGTTATTTGGCAGTTGACAGGTCACTGTTGCCCTTTATTTATGTGTTATAATAAACCATGGTTTGTAAAGCATTTATGACCTAATTCATTTATAAACTCATTTTAAACCATTCACTGCCCCTTTATAAAGGTGGTCTTACTGCGTCTGTTATTTCGTGTCGTGTTTCTGTGCAGTATGAGCAGCTGACCCAAATGAAGTTGGCGTTCCAGACGAAGATGCAGAGACAGCACGAGCTCAGTGAGGTACGATACTCCCAACGTGCTGCCGTGGTCACATGCAGACTTTTTGTTCCTGTATCGCTCCACTCACTCGTGGACAGATGTACTTTCTTTTTCACAGAACTTCACACAGCAGCACACTTTCTCTTTTACAAGCTATCATTCTTTGGACGAGGAAGTGAGAACTAAGCTTGACCAGGAACAGACACTGAAAGTAGAAGCTTGGCTGGTCTTGTTTTACAGGGGCCATGTTACAGAAAATTCTTAAGATCATGTCTTACCTGCTTTGTTGTCATGGCAGCTTCAGTTATGACTGAACTTAGAACATAAGTCATTACAGAACAACTGTTCCTAAATCTGTAATCTTATCTTATTTCCAGATAACAGAAAACAGTATTACAGACATTCTAAGCTGCCAAAATATCCTAAATATTTTCTTACCTTTAAGATAAACCCCAGAGCGTCTCAACTTCTGTTTTAACTGTCTGTTACTATTGTTTTATGCAGTGACAGGCGGCATAAGTAGCATAAAGACGTTACATATTTCTACACTGAAAACTGTGCTGTGACTTGTTTTTTTTTTTCTAACAGCGTTTAAAAGCCCCAGACACTGCAGACTCGATCTCCACCGTGCCCCCTTATTACCTTTGTGTGTTACTGTTGATGAAAACTTGTCAGATAAAATATTACAGTGAAGGTGGTGAATAATGAGGAGACAGAGCTGAACGTGTGTCTGTTTATTAGGAGGAGTGACGTTAGCGCGCTCGGCTAAAGCGTTTAGGAAACTGAAACTGAAACTGTGGGGCGGCGACGCTCTGATAAACAGCACAAAGCGCTGACACAATATTATAAACTTTCAGTTTGTTGCGCTTTAGTTTTGTTTGACCTATTTTTTTACACCAGTAACGGTAGCTAACGTTAGCTGTCCGGCTAACTAACTTGATTGTGTTTACGTTTCAGCTGTGCACGTATGGTCGGTTGCTAGGTAACAGACATGATAGATGATTGTCAGTTTCAATCGAGTAAGTTGAGATTTCCTAACTTGAGATAAGAAAAGATGCTGTAAGATAAGATTCCTAAATTAAGATCAGATTTGCTTCTGTAATATGAATTTGTGTAAAATCCTATCTTGACCTGTCGGATCTTAAGTTAAGACAGACAGACAGGAGGTTTCTGGAATACGGCCCCAGGTTCCTGTGAAATAGTCCTGCCTAAAACATTGTCTTCCCAGTCTCCACTGTAATAAGTGTGATTCAGCTCCTTAGCTGAGGGTGTGACTGTGTCAGTATCCTAAAAACACCTTCTGAGCTTCTCTCATTTGCAGTCTTTCATGGAAACCACAGTCACTGATTAGTAATAACACCTGGATGGGTCGTATCAGAGTAAAGTGGGTGGGGCTTCTCCTAAGGCTGCGTCTCCTCTGAATTTGACTGGCTTTTGTTCTGAAGTCGCTATTAAGTCATTTTATCTGAACCAAAACAGTCTGTGTAGAGTACAGATAGAGCTCCGTCTGTCTATAGAATAATAATCACAATAATGGAGAATAGAAAGAACATTAAAGAGTAAGAAAAGTAAGAAACTGAAACAAATCAAGACACGGAGAGAAACAGGATGGGCTGAAGTTAACTGATCAGGATCGGTTTATTGTCCAGGTCGCTGTAATTCAAAAAACAGAAACTGTCACTGTCCAGTTACTTATGAACTGCACTGCAGATCACTCCCTGAAAATTAACGCTAATTAGCATACGCTAATGACCCCATAACCACTCCTCCTCCAGTCAAGAGCGAGCCCTCCATCAACCCTGAGACCAAGAGATAGAAAGAGGGAGAGGGAGAAAAAGATAGAGAGAAAGATGGAGGGAGAGAGAGAGATAGAGAGATAGAAAGAGGAGGGAGAGAGAGAAAAAGAAAATAGAGAAAAAGAGAGGGGGAGAGAGATAGAGAGACCAAGAGATAGAACGAGGAGGGAGGAGGAGGGAGAAAAAGAGAATAGAGAAAAAGATGGAGAGAGAAAGATAGAAAGAGGAGGGAGAGGGAAGGAGAGAGAAAAAGACAGAGAGAGAGAGAGAGAGAGGAGTAGGGAGAGGGAGAATAAAAAATAGAGAAAAAGACAGAGAGAGAGATAGAGGAGGGAGAGGGAAGGAGAGAGAAAAAGAAAATAGAGAAAAAGACAGAGAGAGAGAGAGGAGAGAATGAGGGAGAGGCCTGTAGGGAAAGAGAAAATAAAGAGACAAAAATAGGGAGAGAGAGTCATAGAGACAGAAAGGTAGTGAGAGGGGAGAGAGAGAAAAATAGAAAAAGAAGGATGGGAGAGGAGAGAGAGGAGAGAGAACGAGATAGAGGGCGGAAAGGAGAGAGAACAGTAAGAAGGAGAGAGAGAGATCTAGCAAGGAGAGAGGGAGAGAGAAAAGGGGATCTAGTGAGAAAGAGAGAGGAGGTTGGAAACGGAGAGGAGAGAAAGCGAGAGAAGGATCAAGGAGGATGAGAGAGAAGAAATGGAAAGAAAAAAGAATCAAACGAGAAGAGAGAAGTAGAGAGAAAGGGATTGATCGAGGAGAGAGAGACGATTCCCAGTTTCCTTTATCAGTTCACCTCGTTCAGTATCAGCTGACTGACTCTTCACAAAGCGCTGTTTCACAGCTGAAGCCTATGAGGCAGAAAGGCAGCTGAGCTGACCGACACTAACGTAGTTGCAGCCCTTAATTAAGCAGAATAAACGGTTTACTCGTCTCCCTTTCCTCCATCAGAGCTGCAGCCTGAGCGCCCTCCAGGCCAGGTTAAAGGTCGCAGCCCATCAGGCTGAAGAGGAGTCGGAGGAGACGGCCGAGAGCTTTCTGGAAGGAAAGACCGACATCGATGACTTTCTCACCAGCTTCATGGAGAAGAGAACGGTACTGCAGTGAGAACTGCACATGCACTGTATGTCCAAAAGTATCCAGACAGCAGTTCTAACGAGTGAATGCAGCTACTTTAAGATGCAATAATTGCTGATACAGGTGTTAATCAGTGCGCACGGTTTGTATAATCCCCATAGAAAAGCAGCCACACTAGAAGCTAGAGGGGTATAAAGCCCCCCAGCATTGGGCTGTGGAGCAGCCCAGCTGCTTTCTCTGGAGTGATGGAGCTCCATCCAGTACCTTTGGGATGAGTTGGAGGGACCCAGAACTGACCATCCAACATCAGTACCTGACCTCACTAAAGCTCTCTTCTCTGAATGCAGTCAAATCCTCATAGCAATGTTCCAACATCTAGTGCAAAGCCTGTCTAGAAGAGTAGAGGTTGTTACTGCAGCAAAGGGGGACAAACCCCATATCATTACCCTCAGTTTCAGAAGAAAATGGTGGTGTCTACAAACTTTTGGACATATCGTGGATATCAAAGCAATAAGCCGCACGTGGCCGTGCGTTACTGTAATTGTATCACGGGGAAGGGTGTTCTTAGGCATGGCGCGATGCGAAATATATGTATTTTAAGTCAATATTAATAATAATGAACATAAGTAATCCACCAAGAGAAGTTGTTTCTTTAGAGAGTGTTATCATTGCCAAGCAGCCATGGACTTTTGAATGAGGAGAACGTTTGGTCGCCCATCAGTGTATATTGCGGTCATTTCATGAACTTCTTAACTTTTTGTCCTATAACAGTGAACATATGATAACACAGCACTGTTTAATGCAAAAACCTTCGCTTTTAGAACTACTTTAAATCATAAAATTACCACCGCAAGTCTTGTATAGCACCAGTCCAGTTGCGCCCCTCTTCTCACGCTGGGGCTGAATCCCAAATGGCTCCTTGCTCCCTACATAGTGTGCTACATAGGAATTTAAATACTGGATCCTGCACCTCGACAGTGCAGAATATAGAAATAGTCATTGAAAATAGTCATAAAGGGGCTCCCGAGTGACGCAACCGTCTAAGCGTTGGCTTCCTCCAAGCACGTTCGGCTGTCCAATGACGTTACACGAGTGGCAGTTTGAAAAGATGCGGTGGCGCTTCACAGGTCACGGAGGAAGCCTGTACTAGCCTTCACCCTCCGGGCGTTGGTAGTATCGTGTGATTGAGGGAGTCCTAACTAGCGGGTGGAATTGGAAATGACTAAACTGGGGAGAAAATTGGGTAAAAATCCAAAAAAAAAAGTCATAAAAATCATTTGGGGCATCCATGCTCCTCATAAAGTGCACTGTTTGGCTGTAGAAGCCAGAATTTAACAAGCTCCTTAGCTAGCACACTATTCAGGGAGTACGGAGCTGTTTGGGATTCAGCCTGGGTTTGACGCTACTTCTGACTGAAACACAAACATTTGAAGTGTGTAAACCATTCAAGTGACATTATTTAGTCTTTTATATTGCAGTTTTAAATCATACTGTAAGTACTGTAAGTTTAATTCAAGACTGTGATATTAATGATGGAGTTGTTAGCTCTTTTAGCCTGTTAGCTAGCTGGTCAGCCTAGTTCTAGTTAAGAGAATAAGCTGTGAGCCCCTCAGTTTAAACAAAACCGGGTTCACTTCAGTTCAGTTCAGTTGCTCTGAGGCGGTTGGAGTGTGTATTTTACAATGGCTTCAAATGCGGTTCAGCCAATCAGATTTCAGGATCTCTTTTATAAATCACAGCAAAATACATCATGGCAGTTTTCATTGTGTTTGTGCGTTATATACGTCTGTTGGCATGTTGAACTGAATTCAGCCTGTGTTTCCTCTGCTATCATAGCTCTGCCACAGCAGAAGAGCTAAAGAAGAAAAGCTTCAGCAGGCCATCAACACTCATGGACAGTTCCCCAGCACACACTAGAGCTGGCCTGCAACTGGTGAGGATTATTTTACTCCTTTTTTTGGGTCTATATTCATAATTCCTCATTGAAAAGGCTTATTAAAGTAATAGTTTGGCATAAAAGTTACACAATTTCTCCCACCCCTCTTACCCCAAATGTAGTCCATTAGCAAATACATGCGTGGTGTCTGAAGTTTGCTTCTTTAGTTTTACACTGGAGCTACGAAGCTAATGTGGCTAAGACTGCGTACAGGCGGCGGAGTGCATTCCAACCAAAAGCCCATTTTATTCTACGGCAGGACGTGACCACAGTCATTCCAATGTGGAAAGTGTTTTTCAGAACACCTTCGCTCATTATGTGTCACTTTTCATGAGGTAACCAATCAAAAAAGAGTAAAACTGAACCAGAGCAAACGCAAGGCAGTTGGAAATTTTTATTCGCTTTCAGGATTCAGCGCGAAAGTAAATATTATTTCACTGGCATTACACTGGCCTCGTCTTTCTCCCCCCAAAAAGAAGCGCAGTAAGTGCCTGTTTCTTCTGAGTATTTAATGTAACGTGTCCTGCCAGAAACACTGTCCATAAAGATCCACTCTGCTTCTTCTCCGCTTCGCAAAACTTGTCACAGGCAGATTCCTCGTGGTTCAGGAATTCTTTGTGGAATGCGCTCCACCATCTGAACGCTACTAAAAAGTAGTGGACACTTATTGTTATTAAGTGACCCTTATTAGTCCCCCAATGAGATTTCACCTCCGCGTTTGACCCATCCGTGCAGTGAAACACCACATACACACTAGTGAATGCACACACACTAGGGGGCAGTGAGCACACTTGCCCAGTGCGGTGGGAAGCCCTATCCGTAAAACCCGGGGAGCAGTTGGGGGTTAGGTGCCTTGCTCAAGGGCACATCAGTCACATACTGTCGGCGCAGGGGATCGAATCGGCGACCTTCCGGTCACAGGGCTGTTTCCCTAACCTCCAGCCCACGACTGCCCATGACTACTCCACCAATTAGCATATCAGTGTTAACTGCATGCATAAATCATCACATACCTCAAACTATTAGTAAGATCTGCTTTTGTGGAGATCTATACGTCTCCAAAATCTATAAAAACGGTAAAAATTCCGGCTTTACGTCTATTTTAAATTCAGTTTGTTTTTGTGAGATCATGAAAGCTAACACATTTACACGTATCCGCCCCTGCCCACTCACTCCATTATAAAGGGTGTTTGAGCTCAGACTGCTTTCTGAATAAAGCACAGTGCAGGACAACCAATCAGAATCAAGGTCATTTACATAATCGGTCTTAAAGGGACAGTAACAAAAACAGCCTGTTTAATTGTAAGAGATAAAGAGAGTTTGGGAAATGATCAAGTAGAAAAGAATTGTGACTGTTTTTGCTACATAAACTCACACAAATGTCAAAAGTGGACCTCGGATGGAAAAAAAAATGAAAAGAAAATTGTAAGATATGGATTCTTTAAGCTATTAAATCCATTTTCTGTTTATAGATGATCAGTTACATTTGGGGAAAGAGGAAAACTGTGTAGATTTGATTTATTGCCAAAATATTACTTTTAGCAGGAAATATTATTCGATTAGTGCTCTTAGTGTGTGATTTTGGTCACTTATGAAAAATTTGAATTCTACTTGTTTGCAAAAAAATTTAGATTACTGCTCAAGCAAGAAGGAACTTCATTCTTTAGTGCTAAACTGGTGCTTGTTTTGGTCTTTGTACTGGTGCATAATGCTAATTGTTTTGCTTCCAGGTTTGGGGATGGTCCTCCAGCAGAACGGTCTGCTGCACAAGCACCCCAAGCCCTACTGCCAGACAGAGCAAAGCCTAGGAACTCTCGATCTGGAGTCCTAGAACCTTCAGGCCGCATGACAGTGAAGAAATCGCTCATGTAAGCTGACGCCAGGACTTCCAGGACCGAAGTTCACGTTGGCTTTCGTTCTCTAACTCCTGTGACGTTCTAGACTGTAGATTTGCCCTGTGTGACAGTAGTCAACAGAGGGGAGATGCGTTCTCTGAACTAGACAGCCTTTCAAGCTCCTGTTAGTACGCAGTATCTATTGAGGGTGGGTTTCTTTTAGGGTGGGCCTTCTACGCACTTGAAGACGAATTTGAATACGAAGATGCTGCCAGATACTTCCCAAAAACGAAAAAAGAATACTGTATTTAATAATGTTGATAATAGGCTTTATTATAATCAGACATTGTATTATATGTTTATTTAATTTGATAGATTAATAAAAACATTTAGAATAATCAGTCTGTTGGGTTGTCGGATCTTGTGTGGGAGTAAGTGGGAAGCTTTCTTCTGAGCCAATATGAAGAAGCAACATATGAATTTACTGATGATTGAGTTTTTATTGGGGCAACAAGGAACGTGTACTGAAGATCATCTAAAGGAGAGGTATGAACTCTGGAGGTGAGTCTACTAAACACATCACAGCTTACTGAAGCGACCAAGACACTGACATTAGTACATTTCACAGTTCTCTAACAGTTGGGAATTCTTGAATGGTTCTAGGGCAGATAAGCAGAACTCGGGGCCTGTATTCACACAGCATCTCAATGTGAGTGATCTTAAATGTTTTTCGACCCATTTTCTGCATATACAATAGATTTAGGACACTCTAAATACAGTTAGCCTTGTTTATTAATTATTTCCCAAGCTAAAGTTACCATTTATTCTTTTGGATCCATCGGAAAAGTTATAACAGCCAGCAAAACGACCACGTTTACTAACAAACTCAAACCGATCCCAGCGATCAACTGAGAACGTAAATAATGCAATAGAAAAGTGTCTTTCTATTATTTAGGTCAGTAATTTGTTGTCTCTTCTTGGTTGACAGTGTGAAGTCTTCTAGGCTCAGAGTGCATGAGGCTGCCCAGCCAAAGTTCAGCCAGGCTTGCTAGACGTTTTCCTTTGTATGGACAGAGTGAGGCAGGTTTTGAACACATCCTCTTTCCACCACTTCAGTACATCTGATCTTGGAATTTACAGTGTATCTGCACTCCTTTTCACAGACCAAGAGACTTTTCTGACAGATTCAGGAATTTGGAGCTCAATATTCAAGTTTTCTAACTCAGTATGTTTAAGAAAGTTAATGAAATGAATTCAGGTGTGTTTGACGGTGGCTTTCCGGGAGAAGCGTTGAAGATCTCGGGTTTGGACGTGTGCGTTTGGATAAGTGTCCCATCTTTTTTGAAGTGGCGGGGGGGGGGTTGGGACTGCTATGTCTGATCCACTCTCACCAGCACAACCCACACTAACACACCACCACTACTTCAGTGTCACTGCAGTGCTGAGAATGATCCACCACCCAAATTAAACCTGCTCTGTGGGGGTCCTGACCACTGAAGAACAGGGTAACGAAGTATGCAGAGAAACAGATCAGCTACAGTCTGTAATTGTAGAACTACAAAGTGCTCCTATGTGGTCAGTGGAGCTGATAAAATGAATGAGTGTAGAAATGAGGCAGTTCTAGTGTTACGGCTGATTGCTGTACATTATATGATTTCAGTGTTTTCCAGTACTTGGAAAATAACTTCAAAACCTGTTGTCAAAACTCACTTGTAATAAAAGCCACAGGGCAGTTGGTAAAATTCACGAATATGAGTTTGTCAACAACCATCACAGCCTCACAACACTCGACTTAAGACCAAACAGACCCGGAGAAGGTCTGACTAAATATGTTCTTATTGAATTTTATCCAGTTTTCAAACACTGGAGCAACACAGTAAAAAAAAAGCGTGGTTTTCTAGTATCCATGACGATGAGGTGGAGCCTGTGAAAACCCTTATTAACATACATTTTACCCTTTCCAAACCTAGTCTCATCTCTGAATGGTCCCATTGTACTGATTTACAGATTCATTTACAAATACCTTTGACTGACATTCCTGAAAGTCTTCTACAGAACGACGTGCTTCACGTGAATCTTGCTGATGCAATTCAGAAACTGCCCACTGGCTTCTATTACAAGTGTTCTGGTCTATTACAGGTTTTCTGTTGTTTTGTAAGTCTGTGATCAACTTTACGCTGTGAAAGCTGAAACCTGCTGCAGTGTTTCCTCTGAAGAGGTGCTAAATGTTTGTCCAGTGGTCAACAGCTGAGAACAATATCTGACTGCCACACAAGTCACATCTACATTTCATATGGTGAAATAATTTATCAGTAGAAGCTACTTTACATCAGCTGTTAATCTGGAATCAGCTCTCTGGAGTATATAGTAGCTGATTTGAGAAAACCTCATATCTCCAGAACTGGTAACTCTACAGGAGACGGCACAATGTTTGTTAACTTCTTTTGGACCATTCTGAACCGTTTCTACTGCTCCCTTTATCATGAAATTTTAACATGGTGTAAAGCGCAGCTGGCATTTGTATGGAAGCCCATTCCCGCCACATAAAACAAAAATCCAGTACATCATTATTTTGTCATTATTAAGTGAATTGCTAAGTCATTATTTTGAAATACAGTGGCATTAACATACTGAGTCAATGATTTGGGATACTAAGTCATTAATTTGAGATGCTAAGTCATTATTTTGGAATACTAAGTCATTAATTTGAGATGCTAAGTCATTAATTTGAGATATCAAGTCATTATATTGGGATATTAAGCCATTTGAGATGCTAAGTCATTATTTCCATAATTTGAGATGCTAAATCATTATTTTAGGATGTCATTCATTTGAGATGCTAAGTCATTATTTTGGGACACTAAGTCATTAAGATGCTACATCATTGTTTTGGGATAATAAGTCATTATTTTGAGACATTATCTAATTATTTTGAGATACTACATCATTATTTTGATGCTTTACTATTTGAGAAACATTCGGCCTCATTCTCCAAGTTTTTTCTTAAATGTCTTTGTGAGAAAGGTCCTAAAAAGTCTACGTCAGATTCATGACGTGTTTTTAAGCCGCAGAATTATTCACACCTTTGTGCTCTTGAGTGTGTGTAGATTTTGTTCTTACATAAGAACAGATCCCAAATAAGAGAACACCTGTGAGTGTCAGAATCTTCATGAAAACTGCCTGAGGTTTAAGAATTAATTTCTTGAATGGTTGGTGAACCTTTCAGAATCATGACAACTCAAAATGATGTCTTAGCATCACAAAATAATGGTATAGCATTTCACTTAATAATGAAAAATTATTTGATAATTAGGTGCTGGATTTTTTTAAGTGGCAGGAAAAAAAATGCTTCCATACATCCATACATTTGCAAACATTGCGTAAAAAAAATAAATAAATAAATAAAAACCACTTGAAATGTGAAAGATGATCCCAGATCAGCATTTTCCCAAATATTTACTGAGTACAACCCTGACTTCCAGTTTTCCAGAATGTACACCACACTGTTTTATTTTTGATTAAGAGATCATGTGAAACCAGTTTCCACAGAGATCCCAGAGTAGCGTCTGGTCTGACCTGCGATCAGCAGTTCCCTTATCAATCCCCCATCCTACACGGTAAGGCCCAATCCCATCTCACCCCTCGCCCCTACCACTGAGCCCTTAGCCCTCTGTTTTGTGTGTTCACATCTAGGGGTAGGGTGTCCCGATTCTTGTTGAGATAGAGGGGTAGGGTGAAGTGTTAGGGGCTACATGACCCTCCAAACTGAGGTTTTTCAGACACTCTAACAGAGTTATATGAGAAAAAAAGAAAAACCGGCAAGATGGCTGAACAAGAGACCAAAGAAACCCACAAATGTGAGAATTTTCTCTGTTAAAAAATTACGATTTTTTTTATCTTTATTATCTTAGTTTAATGTTGTTTCCATGTATTATGGTCGTTTTCTTCATAACAAGCATACAAAAATCACTAATAGCATGCTAATGTCTCGGTAGCTGGTGAATATCTGACTTCAGCTTCATATCACTGAAGAATTAGTGGTGGGTGATAATAAATAATTGCCCCCCTCTTTGAAGGCATATGATGCCCTAAATGTAACTAAAGCCCAGCAGTGAGGAGCTGAACTTTACCCTCCTCTGCTGTCACTGCAGACTGGCAGGGTCGCCTACAGAGCAGTGCTAGTAGCTGTTAATGAAGCAATGTTTTGTTGTCCCATTTCGTAGGGCAAGATTTCAACCACCACCCCTTCTAACTCAGTTCCAAGGGGTTAGGGTGACACTCGAAAACAAGGGGTAGGAGTAAGAAGAAGAAATGGGATTGGGCCTTGGACACCATTCAAAACGGATGTTGAAGCAGCTCTGTGGTGTTTTATAAATGCAGCCCCAGAACATGATTATAACTGACACAGTCCTTTTACTAGTTTTGGAATGCAACTGGCAGCTGCACTTCTTTCAGAAAGAACTGCAGGGAAAACAGACTTCATCTCACAAACACACAGTTTCAAGTTTAAAATATGCCTGAAGATGAATCAGTAATACCTATAGACTAGAAATGAAACACCTTCTACACACAGTAGGTTGCAACCTGAAAATATTGCACGGTTTCACTAAAAGTAGAGTCTTATTTGCTCCACTTACTCAGGCTGGTCAGTTCGAAGTAGACATAGCTTGACTAATCTGCTTGAACTTCTCCCCTTGCGGCCATTATTTTTGTTGCTCTAGCCTAGCCGTTGGTTCTTGATCATTAGCTCAAATCATAAGGCCCTGTCTCAATACTATTTTTTTTTAAAAACATGCCCTCATCAACTGTGACTCACCACTTCGAAGTGAGTTACACCTACAGTACTGTGCAAAAATAGGAGACCACCCATCATTTCCAGTCAAAACAGCCATTATGAGAAAACAGGACTGCAGTGGTACAACAGGTCATCATTTCTCATGAGATCTTCCTGAGGAGAGCAGATACACGATAATCCACAGTTTCCAAAACTGGAGTTCAAAAACTGTTTCAAAGCTACAGAGAAAGTGGGACTCCTAACAACTACCTGGAAGACCTGGTAGACACCAAAACTACCACCGTCAGATAAACAGCACTTAAAGCTTTCATCTCTGAGAGAGAGGAGAAAATCAAGCTGCTTCAGATCTGAAAACATCCACAGGTGTTTCTGTCCATCCTTCCACTGTGAGAAGATGACTCAGCGCTATGGGTCTAAAAGGATGTGTAGCTGTTCAAGAAGAACCTCACTGAGAAAAGGAAGAAAACATCTAAGATGTGGAGGTTTTCCGACTGATGGGTCTAAACTTGTCGATTTGGGGTTGTGTGTATCGTGAACAGACGAAAAATGAAACCAACTTCTATGACTGAACTTTAAAGGTGACCCTGAAAAACAAATAACTTGTGTTTAATGGCTGTTTTCACTAGAAATGAAGTAACTGAATGGTGGTTTCTGATTTTTGCGCTAAATCTTATGTTCCACAAGCTGCCACTGAGACGGCAGTGAAAGGGGAGGAGGGGAGTGGATTTTTAATTGGAGCTAGTCTTTGGCTAGGTTAGCCTTAGTGAGCTAATTAGCCACCCAGATAGTAAGAGTGTAGCTGGCCACTGTTGGCCCGCTGATGGCAAAGCTGGCAGCCCACTGGCTTTTTGCTCAGCGTTTTCTGAGGCTCACTAAGTAGAGTTTGGGACAAAATGCTACTTTTCAGCGCTCATTTTTTACTCGCAGTCCAATTTTCTTCTTTTTCCTTCATTTCCCTCTTTCATTCTTCTATTATGTGCATCTGGGTGGTCCGTGGGTTAACCAGCAGTGGCATCCAGTCAGTGGTGTGCCAACCTCATCAAGCCATAGGACTGATATATATGAATAGCTGCTTTGTCTGGCTGTAAGCTTTGTTGTTGCTAGCTGTGTAGCTTCTAGCTTGCTAGCCAGCTAGCAGAGTACGCTGTATCAGCAGTTGCGTATAGCAGATAAAACTCAGTCTGAACAAATTTGATGTTACAGTTTTTTATAATTAAAGTATTTTAAAGTATTTCATTGATACTGCAGCCGTGTCTGCCCACGTTTGGGGATTTTACATAAGGAAAACATGTCTGATCTCAATTATCTCCGGGCAAGTTCTGCTGCTACAGCCAACTTATGTTCACTTGGTCCCTCGCCCCTTCGAGGGCTTATCTAAAGCCCCACTTGTGCTAGTATAGTAATGGAACGCCACTCAGGATGCTGCTGAAGGGAAATGGCGAGATTGAGTGGATGAGAACATGTTAAAAATAGTATTGGAACGGGCGATAAGCCTGGTTTAAAAATGGTAGTACACAAAGTAGGATTTCTAAGGTTACCTAGATAACTTGAGCCAGAAGTAAAGCCTGTCCAAAAGACCTCTGTAGTCGGGGTCAAGGCCATATAAGGAACTCTGTATTTAAGCTGTTTTTCTCTAGGGGACTTTCTAAATTCACTGCTGTGGCACCCTATGGTAGACAACAACGTTCCGAGGCCAATACGGACACGTTTCCTTTGAAGGTCAGCAGATCCTCTGAATTATGAGGTCGTTAAGGAACTACTGCTACATGCAAGCTAACATTGTAGTGCACTGAACTGACATCGCAAGATTTCCAACCTCACCAAAACACCTTATGCTAAACTAGGGCTAAAAGATTAATCGTCTTTATATCGAAATCGCAATTTAGGTGAGTGCAATTTTCAAATCGCAAGAGCTGCAAGAACCATTTCTTCACACAAAGAACCCTTTGGGTCTTTGATTGTTCATTGTTCTATATTGAACTACTGTCTTTACTAAAGAACCCTTGAAGAACCATCTTTTTTTTAAGTTTACATTAACGTCTCTAAGTTTTAAGTGGGCGTGTAGATGATTTAGACCAATCAGAGGCAACCAAACCTCCATGCGTTGTGACATCACAACCACGACTTACTGGCAGTTTGGCTCACTGCATTCAGGGGTCAAGCCTCAAACTAGAAAAGGTGGATATTCTGGTCTCATTGGCCCAAAGGAATCAGGCCTGAACCTCAGTTTATAGAAGAAGAATTGCAATTTAAATCACAGTCGCAATATTAGTTGGAAAAATTGCAATTAGATATTTTCCCCAAATCGTTCAGCCCTAGGCTAAACACCAAGCTCTGTTAAATATGGTAGTTGCTTTGGTAGTTTCAGTGTGGTGATGGTAAATGAGTGTTAAAGTCTAATGGTCGACGTAATTTCAGCGCTCGCTGTTAGCTTGCTTGTAGCATGTTTGGAGCAATACTCATGTTTTGACTGCGAAACAACCTCCTAAATCAGAGAATCCAGTGGCGTTCAGAGGAAAACCGCACACAGGACAAAACACATCACGTTTGTTTACCCAAACGCCTTTCATTTTTCCCCATAGAGCAAAGCAGCTTAGATCCAGACTACCTAATATGGGCATGACGGACTACAGAATGCAGAGGTCTATAGAAAAAGAGGTAAGGAATGTTCCTATTAGGCAGCCCTCTATTTGTGCTTGTTATCCAGCTTTGCAGAAAAATCCTGCTTTGTGAGTGTTTTTGTGCTCATAAATATTTACATCACACATTAAAACCAGTCTTTAAAATGATATAAATAAAAATAAAAACAGTGGTTTCCAGTGTAGACAGTCAAAATACCACCAGCTGCCCACGATTCCTTATGGGCACGTCTACGCATTCGCGTAAGCCGCCTCATCGGAATCTGGGTCCTTTGCGTCGTCGCAGGCGCTGGAGGCGTGGCTGCTGAGGTCGGCCACGCCCGACTCGAGGTCGCTGCAGGCCGAAAGGTCATCGGGGTCGCTGCTCTTGGGTGTCGTTGGCGACTTCAGGGGTAGTGTGAAGGAGGGGGCGTGGCTTATGCCGGTGAAGTAATCCTGAGGGCTGCTGACCTCGCTGTCTTTCGGAATCAGTCGGTGTGAGCGCTCAGTCACTCCGTTCCTCTTCCTTGTTTCCCCGCTCGTCTTCCTCCCCACCAGCTGAGCGAGTCTCTGCAGCGACGGAGGAGAAGTGAAGGAATATTTCATACTTTATTGAAGGTTAAGATTAAGGTCATTTCTTTATGTTCAGACTGTTGGTTTTTATTTTTTTAGGTAGCTAGTACTGCGCCTAAGAATGAGAATATACTTTTGCATTGGAGATTTGATGCTAAAGTAGCTAACTAGTAGTGGATGCTAACGTGTGCAAGCACTCCCCTCAAACCGTGTCGAGCTGTTCTCCTGATTTTTCAAAATATTTGTGTAATTCAGTGGTCGAAATGTAACGAAGGTCATTCAGAGTGGATTGGTGTGAAATGGTTGATTGTAGAGACTCAGATTTCTTTACAGTGGTGCTAACAGGTGTTGCCATGACTACAACACAAATATAGCCATTTTATTTACTATCCTAAACCACCAGTAACCACCAGTAAACCTACACAAGTCTTTTTGGGGACTATTTTTGCCTCACAACATCCTGCATGTATCCCTCCAACATGAATGGGTTTTAAAAAGATGTTTCAGACCAAAATCTTCTCAAAACTATCATAAAACAGTGTCTGACTCATCAGGCAGTGAATTCATAACCATTTCATGTAATAAGTTTCTGTGAGGGAGCTGTTAGAGGTGGACGTCTGGTTCCTATCACCACCACTTTTAACAATTCTGAATAACCTCTGACTCCCTTTTAAGTAAATCTTGAATTTGCTTGCTTACATGTTTTCTGACACCGTGTAACACACTGATCTATAAACATGGCTACAAACTAAAGGGGTAAAGTTCAGATATCAAACATCTCCTGATTATATTTAGGGTAAAGGGGAAACGGTTTCCATCATTTTGTCAAACTAGTCCTAGGCCTTCTTTGGCGACTGACCTCAGGTAAGGACTTGCTCTTGCCTTTATGCATCTACTTTTTATACATGTATTAATCAACTTATAATCTCTATTTGTAAAGGCAAATATGTTCTTTACTCTTCGGAAAAGTTCATTAGAGCACACAAGCTCTAATGAGTAACACATTCTCAGCCAGACGAGTGTGAAGTTCGGGGACTCTAGAGAAGATTGCTGATACATCATCACTGTCTGTACAAAACATCGCATCTCTAAAATGGTAACTTTCCAGAATAGGGGCAAAGGTTTTAGCTTCTAATCAGAGGTGTAAATCTTTGAGCTGACAGCGAATTAATTCATGATGAACTAGTTTTCAATCCGATTCAGTTTTTTTGTGAAGTAAGAATGGTTGGATTCAATACACGGAATCGGCAATACGCGGCTCTTTTATTGCCCTGTTGTGGCTCAACAGCAGAATTCGAGTTTTAGGTAAAAATACAATAATCCTGCTTTTACAAAAAAATCAAGATCTGCTGATCGTTCTAACACAGTTTTACACAGTTCCTGTAACGCTGGAGTTAATGTAGCCTGTATCAGCTAATTCACCTTGTAACCCTGAAGATTGGCGTGCAGACTGCTGGTCACATAGCAACGCACATAACAATCTCATCTAGCTAGTACCTAACAAAAAGGCAAAGAGAAAAATTTAAGAGGAACATCGATAATCTGGAGACGAATGGACTTATTTGCGATTATAATCACTCCAGCTGGTTTCCTGACACATTTAGTCTGCAATGAGAAACTGCCAAACACTAAAATGTTGCAAAGATGAAGTCAGCTTCGTGTTCAGATTTTCCTGTTCCACCTTAAATGGTGCAGCAGTTACATTCTGGTGCCTCAGGCACCATTTATGGTGGAACGGGAAAATTCAAATGAGAAGCTGGCAAATGAGAAGCGACTTTAAAAAAACCTCATAAAAAAAAAACGAACGTTGAGACACATTTTACGAGAAAATATTCCACTTTTGCTGAAAAGTTTCCTGCCGGAGATGCGAGAAAAGTGATTACAGCAATTAGATTTTTTAGCCTATACTAAGACATCAGCACATACTGAGATGTATTTACAGCCAAGATGGTAAAATAGACTCAAAACGTTGATTTTTGTTGAAAGGACAAAATCGCTGTTTTTAACAATTGAGTTGCGACCCCCTGCAGTAAATTTTGGACCATTTCTATTGGTCCGTTCATCATGAAGCGTTGGCATTTTCAAATGATGTAAAAGAGGCTTTGTTCTGACAGTGACAGTACACTTGAGAAGGGGCTGGGGGTCACTTAGGGGCTTCCCAATGTGTGCAGGTGGGAGGGCAGGTTTTCATGTCTAACTAAGTGGGCGTGTGTCTTGTGTGAGCGTGTATGCCTTGTCCAGCGTCCGTCTCCCGCGGTACCTCCTGGTGAGCGCTAAGCTCCTCCTCCAGCTGCTGTGACTCCTCCCTCACGGCGTTCAGGCAGTCAGACGGTGACTGGCGCAAGGACACGCCCCTTTCTGCTGGACTGTACATGCCCTTCCAGAACCTGGAGTCAGGGAGAAGTTTCATTTCATTACATTCCATACCAGTTTGAGGTCCATTACAACACAACTGACCTGTCCATGCTCCACCCACTATTGTGTGCTGTTGTACCTACTGTTGCTAGGATGGACAGGCTTTACAGAATGTTGGCAAAAATGTGATGACTTCAACCTAATGTAAGTCTAATAAAGTTGGAGCGAGTTCATAATTTAAAATTTATTTTGTATGAGTCGCAATACCAGGTGTATGTTTTTCATTGTGCAAATAAGGTAGAAATATTTCATGCAATATCGTGAAAAGGTGCAGCTGGAGAACTTGCAGATCTTATCATGATATCCAGAGAAGAGCTTTTCAGACTTTTCAAAACCAAACAGAAACCTCATCGACTTAATATCTCATTTTTCAGTATTCAGTGTGTCCACACTCTGCCTTTATTCCAGCTTCCATTCCTTTCAGGAGACTCACTTTTTTGTCGTTTTTCAGCTTTTGGCATGATTTGAAAATGCCTTTCGCCCTTTACATTGTGTGTAAATTTCATGATGAATGGACCAAAAGAAACAGCCCAAAATTACTTGGTAAAAAGTCTGGTTCCATTGACTTACATTAAAAGTAAAGCATGTTTTTTCCTTCTCCTGTAAAGTTACCGTTTTGGAGATACGAGGTTTTGTTCAGACAGCAATGATATCCATAGTTAAATGTAGTTTTGAGGGTCGCATCCATTTAGAATACATTCTATGTGAGTGTCGCGTTGGTATGAGTTGCTATGTTGTAGTAAATACTCACTTGAAGCAGTACGGAGTGGTGACGGGTCTCAGGACGCCTTTGCTCTGGCTGTGGTCAGCCCTGTACAGGGGGTTGATGTATTCTACCCTGTTCTCCCACAGTTGAGGCCAGACAGAGTGAGTTCGCTCATGGATCCTAAAAACACACATATAGGAACATCAGAAAAGCCTCAAAAGTGCCTGCTGCTGACTCACCGACTGTGCTTTAATAAAATCTCTAACGCAGAGGTCACCGATCCTCATCCTCAAAGGGCCGGTGAGTCTGCAGGTTTTCATTCCAACCAAGCTGGAGCACCTGATATAACTAACCAAGTGTCCGAAGACTGAAAGCAACTGATTAAACAAGTGGAATTAGAATGTGTCATTTGTTTGTAGTTTTTTTAATAGATAAATAAATATAAATACAGATAAAAACTTTGTTTCCATCTCACCTTAGATCCCTTCTCTCTTTCTGGCTGTTGCCGATGAAGTTGCCATACTGGCAGGAGTGGATGTGTGTGTGCAGCTGTAAGAGGAATCGCTCGTTGAACTCGAAGGCGCAGGGAAACTGCTCCATCAGCTGCCACACACACTCCAGGAACTGATCAATCACAGGTGAAACCTCCTTGGGATCTCCGTCTAGGTGAGAATACCTGGGGGCCAAAGGTGGACCAGTGTGGGTTACACCAAAGGACACGGCAACACCAAAGGGATGATCACTGTTCTAATCATGTATAATTGAATTTTGTCAGTGGAGAAGAGCGGGTTACAACAAAGGACCCAGTAACACCAAGTGAGGGGGTGGGGGGAGTTACAGTAATGTTCTAATTAGGTAGAGCTGATCCATATTGCTGAATTGAGGAGAAGAGTGGGTTACACCAAAAGACATGGTAACACCAGGGAACAACATCACTGTTACAGCTGATATGTATTGCTAAATTATCTCAGTGAAGAAGACTGGGTTACACAAAGGACATAGTAACATGAGGGGAAAAACATCACTGTTCTAATTATGTAGAGCTGATTTGTATTGCTAAATCATTTCAGTGGAGAAGAGTGGGTTACACCAAAGGACATGGTAACACCAGGGAAAACCATCACTGTTCTAATTAGGTGGAGCTGATTTGTATTGCTAAATTATTTCAGTGGAGAAGAGTGGGTTACACCAAAGGACACGGTAACACCAGGGAACAACTTCACTGTTAGAGCTGATCCGTATTGCTCAATTATGCTAGTGGAGAAGTGTGGGTTACACCAAAGGACATGGTAATACTGTCAATTAACTAAACTAATTAAGAGAATAATTAATTCTATAAAACATCACAGCATCGTATGTAAATGTTGAAAGGTGTGGATGTTTGATTACAGTACTGCGCCAGTTTCTGGGAGAAAAACAACCGATTGTTTCAAAGAACAGACCTGTGTGAGAACTTGTGTCCAAACGATACCCAGTCTTTCTCTATCAGCACCTAAAAAGAGAGCGAGATGTGTTTCATTAATGCATTATTAACTCTTGGAGGCTGCAGTTATTTAAAAAATGTAATTTTATCGGAACTATTTCTGATTCACTCTTCATTGAAACATAAACTTTCAACCCATTCCACATTTGTGTTTGTAAGCAGAAGAGGAGATATTTTATTCTGGTTTAGATTTGATGAAAAGTTACTGCTGTCTTGCAGAAAGTTTTTCATATTTTTGTAAAATTTTGGCAAAAAAACAGAATAAAAGTCATAAGTAAAGAGAGGTTAGAAAATGGTCATGTAAAAATGTAAAGAAAGAATTAAGCAAATAAAACCACAAAAACATACGTGCAGTGTGTCCCAATTCAGGGGCTGCATCCTTCAAAGGCGTGTCCTTCGAAGGCTTCTTAGACCTGCGAAGGCTCAACCGAAATGAGACGGCCTGCCCTACGGCGGATTTCCTGAGGCTACTAGCCTCAGTTTAAACCCAAGACGTATATTTATATATATTTAACTTATATTTAAAAGTGTCTCTTTAGCCGCCGTTCGCTCCTCTGCTGACTACGCCATGTTCTCGAATCCTTGCCGGCACGCAGTGAACCACAGGCTATGTTGGCTGGTGAAGGATCCACCTGTTGGATCCTTCGTTGCCATAGAAAAGAAGGACACATTTCTCAGCTGTGTATGAAGGAGGCTTTGAAATGGGACAGCCTAGTCGCGCCGCTGTGACGCAATCGGACCCCAAATGCAGCCTTTGAAGGATGCGGCCCCTAAATTGGGACACACTGGTGGACTTCTTAGTATCACTACCCAAGTCATGTCATGGTTCTTTCTTTGTTAATATTTTTTCTATAGAAATGTGCCAGAAAAGTTCCATCATACATCATTCAACACTGTCTTAAGTTTTAATTGGGTAAATTTAACCTAATAACGAAAACTGGCCTTTTGGCACGCTACAGTCTGTGTGCAAGTTTTGAGCCATATTGGTCAGAAAATTCACATTTATAGTCACATGCAAAAATCTGTATAATGTAGCATAATAAAGTGGCCTGTGCAAAAGTTATGGCACATTTTATATTTAAATTTTTCATGATATATTAATACATAGAAATTATGCTCTAAACTTTGGTCTCGGTAGAGAATTGACTTATTTTCACGTAGAAAATCCACAAATCAGCCTGACTGGGGGGGTCCAAACTTTTACATACGACTGTAGATGCTTTCCCAAATCATTCAGCCAACGATTATCATAATCATCACATGTCGTGCTGTATTACCATGAGTCCTTTGATGGTTCTGTAGAACGGGTCTAAAAGCACACTGGCCACAGAGCAAGCCTGAGCTGTACGATCCCAGCCATCCGAGCAGTGCACCAGGACGCTCACGCCCTCCTCCGCCACGGCCTAAACACAAACACATCCGCTTTAGAGTGCCAATAGAAACAATATACAAAAATGACTTCAAAAAACAGCATCGGACCTTAAAGCATCCCTACTTTCAACACAATGGATAATATAACAAATTCACTAATACACACTGCTGTGCAAAAGTCAGAGACCACCTTTCATGTATTTCACTTCGTCAAAACAGCCATTCATTTTAGATGATCTTTATGATATTAGAAGATAATCCACTTGCATAACTAAAAAGGGAGTGTCAAAGAACATAAGTGGAAAAAACTGGAGTTTCCAAACCTGATGTTCAAAAAAATGATTAAAAAGATGGGCTCCTAACAACCACCTGGAAGACCTGGTCGACACCCAAACTGCCCTCATCAGATAAACAGCACTTAAAGCTTTCATCTCTGAGAGAGAGGAGAAAATCAAGCTGCTTCAGATCTGAAAACATCCACAGGTGTTTCTGTCCATCCTTCCACTGTGAGAAGACGACTCAGCGCTGTGGGTCTGAAAGGATGTGTAGCTGTCAAGAAGAACCTCACTGAGAAAAGGAGACGGACACATCAAACAAAGAAGCTGAACGATGGACTGACCACCCCAGAGTCCAGACCTCAACACCACTGAATGTGTTTGATTACTTCAGAAAATGATCAACCAGCTTCTAAGACTGAACTTTGGAGGTGTGTCTGCAGATTCTTTGAGAAACTGAAAGTGAGTCTCCTGAAAAGAATGGAGGCTGGAATAAAAGTAAAGAGTGCAAACACTAAATACCGAAAAATTATATTTAGTGTAAATATATGTAATTATTTTCCTGACACTGAAAAATGAATAAACAGCACCTGATCTCTGTTTTGGCTGGAGATTAACTAAATGAAGGGTCTCTGACTTCAGCACAGTACTGTATGTGTAGAATAGATATGGATCTTAAACAATAACAGGCTACTGAAAGCTGAAAAAAGGGGCAGGCCTCAGATTGGGTGCCCCCTCGCACCATTCCGTGGTTCGTGCTTCGGTATCCTGCATCTTCATCTCTGTCAGTGAAATCTTCAACCGTGCATTTACAGTCATATGCCAAGGTTTGAACACCCCAATCAAATGACATGCTTTGCTGAGTTTCTAAGTGAAAATAAGTTATGATGTCACTGCTGTACAACATATAAAGCGTGCCATAACTTTTGCACAGACCACATTCATGTTTTATTTTTCTCCCATATGTTAATTTCAGCAAATAAACAGTAACTGTGCATTAAAATGTGCAGAAATTTGTTATTTTCACTTAGAAAATCAACAAAACACATCATTTGACCAGGGGCGCCCAAACTTTTGCACACGACTGTGTATGTACTGGATAATCATTGGTGAGATTTCACCTTGATCAGAATACGCAAGCTGATTGGCTCTTAGTCTCCATACTCAATGGCTCCACCTGCTGGACCATCACTGATGGTCATTTGATGGTCATTTGGACCTCGATTCAAAAGACACGCTAAGCATTGCGCACCTTAGCGATGAAGACGCCCGCGTCCAGCACTGCTTTGATGTGTTTGAGCCAGCCGGAGTTCTCCAGCCCCCACAGGAAGTCCCCCATAGATGGAGACCTCAGGTCCCCCACTGTAGAACACAAACATATGATAATAATAATAATAATAATGATAATAATAATAATAATAATAATAATAATAATAAAGGAAATCGCCCATTGAGGCCTCCTACTGTAGAACAACCACAAACTGAATAGTATAGGAAGCAATGACATTCACAACTACTGAATGCAGACAAAGGAACCACAGTGGTGACCACCTGACCACTGACCACAACTTCATCTACTACCATTCAAAACTTTGGAATCACAGTTTTCAAGATTGATAATATTATACAATATAAACCAATCTGGTTCTATTTAAATATATAAACTGGTTTTTGAATTTGTAGAAATCTGTAGAGAAATTAATATTCAGAATGAAGTTCTACTAAAATGAATATCCAGAAAGGAGTTATATTAAAATAAATATCAGAATTAAGTACTCATAAAAATAATATACAGAATAGAATTCTAAGCCCCACAGACCATCCTGATTAAAGTTGCAATAAAAGTTATATTGAGAATGAAATTATAATAAATATATATTTTTTATAATTTATATTTATATAAAATATTAATAATATCCAGAATGGAGTTATAATAAAATGAATATCCAGAATGGAATTGTATTAAAATTAATAGCACACACACACACACACACACACACACACACACACACACACACACACACAGTCTCTCACATGCGCGCACACACACACACACACACACACACAACACATCAATAATAACGTCCACATCAGCATGGCAGCGACACGTACGTACACACACACACACACACACACACACACACACACACACACACACACACCCCACCAGCTCGAGAGATGATGTAATCACGCACCGTCTGTGAGCTTCTGCTGGCTGTTCCTCATCACGTGGATGTTCTCGATGCCGATGAAGTGCAGCCTGATGTTGGTGTAGTGATCTTCGTTCTCGTAGCCTTTCCCTGCCGCGCGGTTCGCCATGGCGTTCAGCTGCGAACACCAGCACAGCGGACGAGAACTTCAGACCAGCACATGCATTACAATCCAGGATCCATTTAAGGGGGGGCGCGATGGGATGCCATTCCCCCCGGTCATAAACAAAAACCACCCCCCTTGTAAAACAACCATCCTCCCTCTTTAGATACGTGTAATATCAATTTAGATCTCTATAACCAACATTTTCTTTCCAGAAGAGTTTTTCTTTCCAATTTCTCCTCAATTCAGTCGTATTCAATTCCACCCACTAGTTAGGACTCCCCCAATCGCACGATACCACCAGCCCTAGGAGGGTGAAGGTTAGTACAGGCTTCCTCTGAGACCTGTGAATCGCCACCGCATCTTTTCAAACTGCCGCTCATGCAGCATCACTACCTGCTGTTCCATACAGTGAGCAGCAGCGAGTAGCTCATGTCTTACAGTGCGGAGGTAACAGAGCTACATTACAGTCTAAAAGGAATGCGGTTGACCCCAGTGCTACCCCAAAAGCCGCTGTCTGTGATTATCATACGACAACTTTATCTTTTGACCTTCTATTGATGTTTACGCCGCTCCTCACCTTTGGCCGGGTGTCCACCACGTACATGTACTCGCTGGCCGGGTTGGACTTCATGATAGCCTGCAGCATCTGTTCATCCTCCAAAGAACGAGCGCTGAACCCTGAGAGCGGCTGACTGCTGCGACACACTGCGGCCTAGAGAGAGAGAGAGAGAGAGAGAGAGAGAGAGAGAGAGAGAGAGAGAGAGAGAGAGAGAGAGAGAGAGAGAGAGGTGATGAATGATAGACAAGAGAAAGAAACAAGGACAGAGAATGATTCCAAAAGGATGAAAGGGGATGAGGAGAGAAAGAAGACAGGAAATGAAAGAAAGAAAGAAAGAAAAGAAAGAAAGAAGAATTCTCTAATGGGGAGCAGTCCCAAATGCATCTATTGATTTAGGTAGTGAGTGAGCAGTAGACATTTGACATGAGGGAGGAGGGAGAAAAAAGGGGGTATGGAGTAGAGTCAGGGAAAAGAATAGGGAGTAGGGAAAAGGGAGTAGGGAATAGAGATTGGGGAAATGGGAGTAGGGAGTGGGGAGTAAAGAGTAGAGTAAGGAGTAGGAAGTAGGAAGTAGAGAGTAGGGAAAAGGGAGTAAGGAATAAGGAAAAGCGACTAGAGAGTAGAGAGTAGGGAGTAGGGAATAGAAAGTAGGGAGTAGAGAGTAGAGAAAAGAGAGTAGGAACTAACGAGTAGGGAGGAGGGAAAAGGGAGTAAGGAGTAGGGAAAAGAGACTAGGGAGTAGGGAAAAGGGAATTGGGAGTAGAGAGTAGGGAGTAGAAAGTAAGGAAAAGGGAGTAGGCAGTAGAGTACAGAGAGTACGGGGAAAGGGAGTTGGGAGTAGAGAGTCTGGAAAAAGGAGTAGGGAGTAGCAAAAAGGAGCAGGGTGTACAGAGTAGAGAGTGGAGAGTCGGGAAAAAAGAGTAGAGAGTTGGGAGTTGAAAGAAGGGCAAAGGGAGTAGGGAGAGTAGGGATCAGCGATTAGGGAGTAGAGTTGGGAGTACAGTGTAGGGATTAGCAATTAGGGAGTAGAGAGTAGGGACTAGGAAGAAGCAAAAATGGAAGTTGAGAGTAGGTAGTAGGGAGTAGGTAGTAAGGTAACAGTACATACGCTGGTGTCTCTGTGGAAGTAGGACAGAACCGGGAGGCGTCCACGGCTCCTGAACTTCGCGCTGCCGACAATGACGGCGGGGGACGCTGACTTCGGCACAAACAGTTCAGACGGGTACGTGTCACACACCTTCAGCACAAACAAACAAATAAACAAACCAACCAACCCTGACACTGACAGGAAGACTGACACATTACAGCAACAGTCCTAGTTTTACGTACATGTTTTACCCCCTCAGTCCAAAAGTAACTGAAGACGTTCAGTGTCTCAAGTTTCCTTCTTTAGTTTTTGCACTACGAGTCTAATGTAGCTAACAAGTAATGGAAGCTAATACCCCACCAATTACAAACATGCTAACTGCATGTCTGAATCATCACATCAACCCATGTTGAGCTATTAGAGTTATTAGACCTGCTCATGTGTTTTCTGTATTACATACTATTGTTTATAAAAAAGGACGAAGACACACAAAATGAAGGCTTCAGTTTGGCTGCTGGTTCTGTTTCTAGCTATGTGATGTCATTCTGACCGAACCACTGCTTCATTTCACACTGAAGTGACTGTAAAAGACATAAAGGTACAGCACTGACCCTGTACTCGTGATTGGCGGGGGTGACGTGCCAGAGGTTGCTAGGAATGCCCATGCGGCTGAATTCGGCACGCAGGTCCAGAAAACCCCAGGCCTTCTCCCGCTCCTCCTTATCCACGTTGGGTTGGAAGGAGAAGCAGAAGAGCTCTCCATAGCGGTCTGGGGGAAGAGAGGGAACATGAGAAAGAAGGAAAGAAAACTGAAAGTGTACAAACACAGACAACAATAGCTGACTAAAAGCAGAAGTTCACCACCACTGTGAACAGTTCCGACTTGGTTTCTCTAAAACGGAGCATTTCACATCTAAATCGTTTTGTTAATACAACCCCATTTCCAAAAAAGTTGGGAGGCTGTGCAGAATGTAAATAAAAATAGAATGCAATGATGTGCAAATCAAGTAAACCATATTTTTAAAGGAAAATACTACAAAGACAACATGTCAAATGTTGAAACTGAGAAATTTTATTGTTTTTTGAAAAATATATGCTCATTTTGAATTTGATGCCAACAACACATTCCAAAAAAGTTGGGACGGGGGCCTGTTTACCACTGTGTTTCATCACCTCTTCTTTTAACAACACTCTGTAAGTGTTTGGGAACTGAGGAGACACTGCTGTAGTTTTGAAAGTGAAATGTTTATCCCATTCTTGCTTAACATAGGATTTCAGTTGCTCAACAGTTCAGGGTCTCCTTTGTTGTATTTTCCATTTCATGATGTGCCAAATGTTTTCAATATGTAACCGGTCTGGCCTGGAGGCAGGCCAGACTCTTAATACGGAGCAATGCTGTTGTAATACATGTAGAATGTGGTTTGACACTGTCTTGCTGAAAAAGACGTTGCCTAGATGGCAGCATATGTTGCCAAAACCTGTATATATCATTCAGCATTAATGGTGCCTTCACAGATGTGCACATCACCCATGCCATGTGCACTAATGCACCGCTATACCATCATGAATACTGGCTTTTGAACTGTGCACTGATAACAAGCTGAGTGGTCTTTAGCCCGGAGGACACAGTGTCCATGATTTCCAAAAAGAATTTCAAATGTTGATTTGTTGGACCACAGGACACTTTTCCACTTCCCCTCAGTCCATTTTAAATGAGCTCAGGCCCAGAGAAGGTGGCAGTGTTTCTGGATCCTGTTTAGGTACAGTTTCTTCTTTACGTTTTAGAGATTTTACTTGCATTTGTGGATGCAGCGCCGAACTGTTTTCACAGACAGTGGTTATGAGAAGTGTTTCTGAGCCCGTGCAGTAATTTCCACTTCAGAATCATGTCTGTTTTTAATGCAGTGCTGCCTGAAGGCCCCTACATGCAGAGATTTCTCCAGATTCTCTGAATCTTTTAATGATATTATGTACCGTAGATGATGAAAAGCAAAAGTTCTTTGTTATTTTACATTGAGAAATGTTTTTCTTGAATTGTTGCACTATTTGCTCATGCAGTCTTTCACAGAGTGGTGAACTCCTCCTCATCTTTACTTCTGAAAGACTCTCTGAGATTCTCTTTTTATACCCAATCATGTTACTGACCTGTTGTCAATCAACCACCAGGAGTTTTTTTAGCATTACACAACGTCACCAGCCTTTTGTTGCCCCCGTCCCAACAACATGTTGTTGGCATCAAATTCAAAATGGGCAAATATTTTTCAAAAAACAACACAATTTCTCAGTTTCAACATTTGATTTGTTGTCTTTGTACTATTTTCAATGAAATATAGGGTTTAAATGATTTGCACATCATTGCATTTAGTTTTTATTTACATTTTGCACAGCGTCCCAACTTTTTGGAAAAAAAAAAAAAGTTGTATACTAAAGACTGAATTATGCAGAAATTTTGAAATTTGGGTGGAATTCCCCTTTACATGTTTTTCATGTATTGATTTTCCCTTTTTTTTCCCCCCAATTTTCATAATGGAGCAGAGGCACATATAGATGTATCTCATTGGACTGCCACTCTGGTGTTGTCCACCTGGTCGTGAGAGGCGTATGAGTGAAGCCTGAATGTCCGCACAGTCCTTCTCCTGTGGGAGCAGCAGCTGGTACACCTGGAAGTTCTTGCAGCGGATGATGAGCGGACTGCCCGAGGGGGTGGTGGGGGGTCGCTCAATACTGCCCACCAGGCTGTGTAGGACCTAAATATGAGACCACAAGATACGATCAGCAACTGGCCTGTCCAGGCTCCGCCCACAAATGCATTCTTTCATAGGAACTGTTGCTTGGCTGGACAAGCTTTACGGAAGGTTGGTAAAAATCCCCATTCAGCCTCACGAGTACTCGCCCTAAATGTGACATAAACTGAGTCTGTTCTACAGTTTCTCATTAGGCTGAATGAATAACTGACTCTAAATGTAGGTATTGTGATATAAACTGAGTCTGTTCTACAGTTTCTCATTAGGCTGAATGAATAACTGACTCTAAATGTAGGTATTGTGATATAAACTGAGTCTGTTCTACAGTTTCTCATTAGGCTGAATGAATAACTGACTCTAAATGTAGGTATTGTGATATAAACTGAGTCTGTTCTACAGTTCCTCATTAGGTTGAATGAATAACTGACTCTAAATGTAGGTATTGTGATATAAACTGAGTCTGTTCTACAGTTTCTCATTAGGCTGAATGAATAACTGACTCTAAATGTAGGTATTGTGATATAAACTGAGTCTGTTCTACAGTTTCTCATTAGGCTGAATGAATAACTGACTCTAAATGTAGGTATTGTGATATAAACCGAGTCTGTTCTACAGTTTCTCATTAGGTTGAATGAATAGGATTGATATGCAAATGAGGCCTGTTCTGATTGGCTTTGCCTCATTTAAAAGGCAAGCTCTGCTGAAACGCTCCTTATAACTTCATATAGCCTCAATTGGTGGCGCTAAACTGCTTTAGGCTGAATAGGCACATTTGCAGTCATGTGCAAAAGTTTGTGCACCCCTGGTCAAATTCCATGTTTTGTGAAAATAAGTGAACACGTCCTCTACAAAATAACACTTCTACATATTTTAATGCACAATTTTTTTCAATATGATAAACTCAGTAAATAAATATATATTGCATGGTACATCTTGAAACTGTGGCACTGTTTTCCATACCACATAAAACTACTGTTATAGTGGGCTTGTAACAAATATCAAGGAGCTTCAAATGGAATGAATTGTCTCTACAAATAAAGGTCAGAACTGTCCAGGCTGTGGTCTTCTCTCTGTGGTTCTTTCTAGACGTGAAGGCTGAACAGGAAAAAAGCAAGACAAGAAAACTACTGATGCCTTTGACCTTTGCTGCTGAAGACTTTTGAGAGAACCTTGGACAGCAAAGATAACAAACAAACACCTCTCAGTCGAAGGCCAGATAAACCCAAAGTCCTATTTTGGACATGCACAATACGGCCAAAAGTTTGTGGACACCCAAGGTTTCTTGCAAAATCGAGAGTATTAAAAGGATTTTGTCCTCCTCTGCTGCAGTAACTGTCTCGACTCTTCAGGGAAGGCTTTACACGAAATGTTGGAGAACACTGCTGTGAGGATTTGATTGCATTCAGCAGCAGGAGCACTAGTAAGGTCAAGTGTTATTGTTGGGTGATCAGTTTTGGATTATAAACGCAACTCTAACTCATCCCAAAGGTATTGGTTGGAGCTCTATCACTCCAGAGAACACAGCTCCACTGCTCCACAGACCAATGCTGGGGGGCTTCATACCCCTCTAGGCTATGCTTGGCACTGGACATGGTGACCTTCATGGTGAATCAGTTCATTGGAGAAGACCAATCTGCTTGGAACAGATGAAGGTAACAGAGGAAGACAACCAGCGACAAGATGGATGGATACAATCAGAGAAATCACGAACCAGCAATTAAGACGCCTGAAAACCCAAACAGAAGACATTCTGGAGAAACACGATCCTTACGGTCAGTATCGGCTGGTAGTAGTGGGCAGTACGAGGGTCGAAATTCTTCAAGTAGTTTTGTCAAAACCACAAATAAGTGCAGATAACGGGATATTCAAATATGCCAAACCGCTTTAGTGTCATCCCTTTTAGCTAAGCGTCCGAGTCAGGGATGTTTCCGTCACGTTTCCAATGAAACTGAGAGCACAGCTGAGCCTCGATCACCTCCCGCTGTCTGGTCCATTTCATCTGAAGGAGTCCACTATGTGGACACAACCCACTGGTTGGTGTGATGGACACCAGAGCTCTTCCTCTCGTACCGCCTAAAAGGAGCCACCTGACTCGACCAGCTGCATCAGACAAAGCCACAGTGGAGCAGCTGGTACTGACAGCATGAATGACCATAATATTTCCCAACTTCCAGCAGCGTCCGACGGTCAGGGATGTGAGTTTGAGACAAATGACATAAGACAAGACACTGCAAGCTGTATTTGGCTTCTTATTTGAATTTCCTGTTCCACCTTAAATGGTGCAGCAGGGACAGTCAGGCTCCTGTACAGTTGCCAGAATGTTGCACCATTTAAGGTGGAATGGAAAGTTCAAACAAAAAAAATGCTGGATGAGGAGCCAACTTCAGCCACTTAGTACCCAGTTCTGCTGGGCCTGCAGGGCTAGTGTTGGAATATGGTTATAGGTTTTTTTGTATATTTTTCAGTTTTGTTTTTACTGTTGTGCACAATAAATATATTTCAGACTTACTTTGGTTGTTATACATGGTTGTTAATAAAAATTGAAGGGACATCCTAGAATAATAAGCCACTGTTAAAAAAAGGTTGAAGCATCTACAATGATTTTATGTAAACAATATGTGGTAAATTCTTGACACCATCAGGAATTTAAATTATAATATACATTTTTGGCCATACATCTGCCCACTACTACATTTACATTTATTAGTTTATTAATTTGGCAGATGGAATAGTACATGTGTGTAAAAAATAATGTTTAAAAATGATAAAAATAATTCAGGATTTTTTTGTTTCTAATGATTGGGTTGTTGCCCTTAAATAAGATACATTTTTAATTATTTTCAATATAGATTCTTAGATGCATCACGATGCGGACGTGGACGATGCTGAATCGATTCACAAATGTAAAAAAATTTTCTAAATATTCAATTTATAACGTAATGCTGACGGAACGCAAAAGGTGGAACTTGGAAGTGCGGAAGTGCATCGCCCGGACAGTCTGTGGTGTGCGCACTGCTTTAAAAGCTAGTGCAGGGGTTGGCAACCCAAATGTTAATAAGAGTCAATTTGTCCTTTTAACCAAAATCAAACCACCCTGTGAGCAACAACACTGAGTCCATTTTAAAAGAGTAAAAGAGCCGTTTGTTGCCGACCCCTGAGCTGGCGTATGGAAGCACTTTGGCCTCTATGGAGTTGAAGGGGGAAAAGGGACCTGAATAAGAGCCATACTATACGCAAGTTGTGTCACACTAAACTAAAATATTATGGAAACGACAAACATGAGTTTGCCCGTTTCCACCCGTTTTCCTAACGGTTGTACCAACCAGAGGACTTCTATTCTATACTTCTAACTTCTATTGCCAAGGATTTGCGTCCGAACTCAGTCGTTGAGAACCAGGGCTTTCGCGCTACGTTGGACACTTTGGAATCACTGAAGAAAACAGGGAGGATAACGTGCTGCGTGGACATCCATCGCCACAGCATCTTATTTCACCGTAGCGGCGCATTTTATCACAGATGAGTGTCAGCTGGCATCTCCTGTGCTCCAAACAAGAGCAGTGAATGAGAGCCTTCCAGATTCGACACATCGCTTGCGTTTGTTTTACTAGGAAAAGCCGCCGGAAGTAAATTCATCATGGATCATTACAAATACTTTGCTTTAGAACAGGGGTCTTTAATTAAAACTCAATAAGGTCCAGTTAGAGAAAATGTCCTCAAGCAAAGGTCCAGAACATCATAATGTCTAACTTGCATCATGATTCAGTGCCATATACTGTTTACTGAAGTAGCCTAGTAGGTATATCAACATCTTATACAGTCAACAACTGAATGTCAAATCAAATAAAGTACAATTCAGTCATATTTCAACATTTATTGTCAGTTTTCTCTTTTTAGAGCGCGGCATGTGAAATAACCTCCCTCTGACTCACTTTCTTCTCCGACTGCTGTTTCTCGCCTCGTCCCTCCCCTGTGTGTGCGTCACTCACTCGAGTCTCAGTGCTCATCGTAATGCACAGATCTGATTGGCTGAGTAGCATCACACGTGATATTTACAACGCATGCGATTGGTCTGTGAGTCTCCTGGGACTCTAAAGCTACCGTAAAGGCTAGAAAAGCTACGCCGATTAAAATAGGACCACTCCATCGAAATGAAAGAATTCTCCATAGTTTATAGGTTATAGGTCCAGGTCCGCATAGGACAGCATCTGGGTCCGGACTCAGACCGCGGTCCGCCTATTAGTGACCTCTGCTTTAGAAGTACAAAGTCGTCACACAGTGAGAAAAGAAAAAGAAATCCTGTATAGAAAAAAATGCATCGATAATTGTTTTATAATCGCATCGCAGCCCCCTAAATCGCAATCGAATAGTGCCATGAGGTTCCTAGAGACTCCCACCCCTGCTCACCACATAATGTTAAGCAAAAAAAATTAAATAAAATGAAAACATCAGGCCAACAGAGTTGTTGAGATTATTTAAATGTGGCCCTTTTGGTGGCTGAGTTTGACACCCCTGCATTACACTGTACAAAAATAAAGCCAAAGCAAAGTAATGAAAGCGAATCCTGAGTCCTTTACAATGTCAGCTGTGTAACGCGGCTCTTTCTGAAAGACACACATGACCGACACAACGTCACACAGGTTTCAGTTCCTACCCATGTTTCCCTGCGTGCGTCCGAGTTCTCCACAAAGATGGTGTGGGTAGACGAGAGATACAGCGTCCCAACAAAACACTTCCTGGGCGTCAGTCGGTCAATCAAACGCACGTTTTCCACCTGCGAGAACAGAAAGACGTAAACAGACTTACATCTTCATAAAGGTCCAGTGTTCAATGCTGTAGAGTGACAGTTCAGTTCAGCCTGATCCACTCAGACTGGTTTCCCGGCAGAACATAAACACTGAGCACAGCGGCGCTTCGCAGTGCTTACAGAGCTACTGAACTAGCCAAGAGCTAACGTTAGCCCTGAGCTAACGCAGTGAGCACAGGCTAACATGCTAACCACAACACAATGATACAATACGAATCAATATCCAATAAAAAGAGCGTTTAAGTTAATCATCGTTCAGCATGAATGAGCAGCTTTTTAACTCTAATTATTTGGCTGTTTTCTTAAAAAAAAAGATATGTTTTTGATATTTTTAGTTTAAAGTATAAACATCTTATGTTGAAATGATACAAAAATGCTAATATAAACATTCAATTATGTTAACTGATCTTAACTTATTAGCTTGTAAATAACAAAAACTCTGTAAAATGCTATTTTATGATTTTATATAATAAATAAATATCTTACATTAAAATGATAAAAAAAGGTATAGTAAAAATAAAAATGTTAAATAATTAGTTTCCTATATCTGATATAATATTAAATGTATATAATGTAATACATAAATTGTAATATATATATATATATATATATATATATATATATATATATATATATATATATATATATATATAAAAACACACACTTGTTTTGCATTGCTTGTGAGGACTTCCATTAGTTTCTATTGATTACTGCATTCTTATAGCCAAATCATCTTGCACTTAACCCCACCCCAACTCTAGCCCCAGTATCCCAAAAGCAATTTCAACCTCTTTTTTTTCAGAAAAATATCATATGTGGTGAAAATGCTGAAAACGATGACCAGCAAAATGTCCTCACTTGAGCAAAAATGTCATGCTGTCCTATCATTGTGAGGACAAGTAGTCCTCACAAGGACAGCAAGGGCTGAAAAAGTGTATCTTTCAGTTTTTGACATAAATTTGAAAATGCATGCTGTCCATTGACTTACATTAAAAGTAAAGTAGTTTTTTTTCCTTCTCCAGTAAACATTTTGGAGATACGAGGTTTTGTTCCAACAATAGCAACACACACATATACATTACATATATATATATATACACACACACACATATAAAGACAATGGCACATAGAGTTGTTTTAATCTAAATTATTGAGTAAATCAACAAAAATACATCATCTTTTTAATAAAATGTAAAAATCATGCATCTCTTTTTTCTATAAACCCACATTATGATGCCGTGATCCTCATTCTGACGCTGCTGCCTGAGACACGGTTAACCCTTCCTAAAGCAGCCTGTATGTCATCAGTGCCCCCCCCCCATTATCTACCCCCCCCCCTTTCTCCCCCCCCTCCCCCTCCCCTATCAGCTGGGCCAGAAGGCCTTCAGCCAAACACAACCGTGACAAAGACACACACGCACGCGCGCACACACACACACACACACCAGCACGAACACGGTCTGAACTCATCAGCCGCTCTCCGGCTCTCACTGTGACCGTGACGGGGGGCCGCGCGCCCCCTCCATTGTCTTACAACGCTAATGTTATCCAGCCGGTCTCCGCGTCTCACGAGGCCCAGAGCTCGCGCTGCGGGTGATGATGAGACACGAGCATCGTTTCTTTGAGAAATAGCATGGCGGACGGACGGCTCGAGCCCGGACAGGCCGTGTGTGTGTGTGTGTGTGTGTGTTACCTTCGGGGTCCTGATGTGCTCCATCCTCCGGTCTGTCTGTCCGTCCGTTTGTTCGCTGTTCCGTGGGCGGACGGACCCTGAACGCCCCCCTCTACACCCCGCCGACCACCACTAAACGCGTGCACTTCGATACCCGGTTGGCTCGCGCAGAGCTCGCGCCATGGCTCTTCGTTTGTGTACCTCGAGCCGCTGTGAGCTGCGGAGCGTGTTGGGCTTTTTTGTTTCCCACCTTTATTCCGACCAGCCCCGCCCTCCACCGCTACTATTGGCTAGTAGAAGCCCCGCCCTCCTGCCTTACCGTGGGCTTGTAACTCGCACTCACGAGGACCGCACAGTCATACCTGCGAGTGTGGAGTTCTGGCCAATCCGAGCGAGGGAGGGCGGGGCTTGACGTAATGCGGGTGGGAAACAAAACAGCAGCGCACTCAGGATCGTATGCGTAGTTGCGTCTCTGTGCGCATGCGCGCGAGCTCATCGGCCTGTTAAAGTGGATTATACTGATGTGCACTGATGTAGTCAGACCACTGACTGACAGTAGATCTAAACATAAAGGGAAATGTTACCATATGACTCACTGTGAGGTATTAATGATAGACCACGTTTAACTGGACACACTGACATTTTATTATATCATCATATTCATAATTTGAGCTCCGGTTTACTTTGAGGTTAATCCACATTTACAGTACAGCTGAGTGTAAGGAGAACAAAAAAACAACAAAACTGATAAGAGATGAAGAAATAGATTTATAAGACAATAATAAACAAAGATAAACAATAAAACAAGGGGAAAAAACAGGAAAAAGAATTCAATGAAATACAAAATCTGAAATGTATTTAGTTCATTTAAACAGCCCGTCCTACATTTTTTCTTGTATTTTAGAATATTTTCATTGTTTTTTCGTATTTTCGTTTTTCCTCTCTTTAACTGCTGAAGGTTTCCGCCAAAGCCCTTATAGGAAAGTCTGTCCCCATCTTTGCAACGCCACCGGGCAGTTATTTCCAGTCATTGTAGACTAGACTCCCCTCTCTCCGAATGAAGAGAGACAAAAATACTTGAAACTGAGGGTCAAATTACTGTTTCTAACACAGATTCAAAATCACTGGTAAATCTGACCAAAACTTAAATGGTTAACATCCCTGATAGCAAGAGGATAGTGGACCACTGTCGGCCCGCTGATGGCAAAGCTGGCGGTCCGATGGCGTTTTGCTCAGCGTTTTCCAGGCGGCCCACCGGCGGTTAAGCGGAGTATTAGACAAATTTCTACTCATTATTTTTTCTGGTCTCAGTTGTTTGTAATGTTTGTCTAAGTTTATTTTCTAAAATAAAAGTCTCTGTTCATTTAAAATCTTTTTGAGGAGATTAAAAACTAGTTAAAGTTTGTATGCAGGACAGTAATCTGGGTTGTCCGAGGGTGGACCAGCAGTGGCAAACAGTCAGCGGGGTGCTGACCTTATCAAGCCAGCGGACCGAGGTATGCTCGCTACTGGGGAGTACTCTAAGGAATTTGCTAATGTTGCTAGCTAGCAAAGATAATATCATAGCCTTTACCTTAGATATACATACCTAGATGCCTCTTTGTCTGTTGTTCTCTATGTGAGGCGATACGTCTGCACGTCCGGCATGTTGCAGAGGTCAAGATCCGCTTGTGAACAAATTCACTTGTATTGAGAGGCGATGAGTCTGAGGATTAAATCGGCCACAACTTCCTTATTTCTCAACTGATTTTCACCAGATTTGTTTTGTTACCATCCTCAGACGAATCAGATGAATCTAGCCTGCACGGATCTGCTCTCGGTAGCTTTTATTACTTTAATAACTGATCGTGATAATTAGCCATCCAGACCAGCAGGAAAGTATTCAGTCTGCACCCGACGTTAAAAACACAATCTCACACACATCAGCAAATCCATCAATGAGTGAATCACTTCTAATCTTAATACACACAACAATAAAATAAACCCACAAAACACAGTAAGAAGGATGAAGCTAAAGTTGCCTTCCTATTCGCCAGCTTCTTGTTCGAGTTTTCCTATTCCACTTTAAATGGTGCAGCCGTCACTTTCTGGTGCCGGAAGCTGCACCATTTAAGGTGGAATGGGAAAACTCGAACAAGAAGTTGGTGAATAAGAAGCTGACTTCATGTTCGTGTAAGAAGGTGCCAACGATAATCTATTATGAATATCTACACAGATTAAGGAATGCTATAATTTACCACTACAAAGCTTTAACCATCACTGTAAATAAATAACTACTACATCAAGTTAAGATCCTGAATAGACTATTAAATGAAATAAGCTTCATATAAAACCAGAGGAAAAACGATCACATCAACAGGGTCTCTGTGCTTCACCAACCACACGACCGTATCTACATAAATATCACACAGACAATACACATCACACAGACATGAGTGTGGATCGCTGTGTTCCCTCCGTTATATAATCCTATCACACTTTCTGAGAGTAATATTCCTGAAATAGTGTAATTTTGGACAGAATCTTTCTTAAACTGCCGCTCTGTAATGGTACTGAATGCAGTCCAGCAGCGACGTTGACCGCCCTAAAATGGCGGCGCCATTGACATGCCTGGCTGGACCCAACACGGCATCTAGTATATCTATGGCCTTTACTGTTAGCTCCTACTCTAAGGGATTTGGCAATGTTAGCTATTGCAGCATGACTGAAGTTACTTTCAGAGATGTTGACAAATAGAAATGCTCTAAAATTGCTTGGAATAAAATCTCATTACATTAACTTACATTGGAAGTAATGTTTCTGCCCTCTTCTGTAACTATTAACATGTTTTGTTAGTTTTCTAAGTAAAAATAGGTGAACATGTCCTCTACGGGTGTCTCCTTTTAATGCACAATTTCTATTTATTTACTGAGTTTAACATTTAAAAAGTAATAATAAAACATAAAATATGAAATGTGACTTTTGCACAGGCCACATTTTATTCTTTATTATTTCCCAATATGTTAAATTCAGCAAATAAACAGCAATTGTGCATTAAAATAGCAGAAGTGTGCTCTCTGTAGAGGGTGTGTTCATTTATTTTCACTCTCAAATAAGCAAAACGTCCAGACTTTTGCATATGAGCTTCTCAGAGTAGATCTGGGACCAGATTCCTCTGTTGTTTACTATGACTTCATGAAAAGGAACAGATCCTAGATCAGCACTCTGAGAGGCTTTGTGAAAACCACAAACACACCTGTTTCTAAATGAGCAATACAACACAGTGTAACTAGCAGGTGGTGACCTGCAGAGGGCAGCATCGTCTTGTGGTTCTCAGTCCTGGACTTGCTGCACCACTCAGTTTCTCTTCTCTCAAAACTCCTTACAGAAACATCCTAACTCTAATTTTATCTGTTTAGTCACCATGACAACTTCAGTTTGGACTGAATTTAGGAAAGAAGCTACAGAACAACAGGTCTTAACTTCATGATCTTATTAACCTCAGATAAGAAAACAGTGTTACACAAACATCCTAACTAGACCGAATCTCCTAAGTACTGTTCTAACTTTAGGATAAACCTCAATAGAGTCCTAACTTCTGTTTAAACTGTCCGTTTCTATCGTTTTTAGGCAGCGACAGGCAGCATAGTTCACTACTAGCATAATGATGCTACATTTATTTATATTGCAAAAAATCTCAGACACTGCAGACACGATTCTCACCATCCCCTCTTATTAACTTCTTCTGTTAATGTTTGATAAAAACTCGTCAGATAAAATATTACACTGATGGTGGTGAATAATAAGGAGACAGACCTGAATGTGTGGCTGTTAATTAGCAGGAATAACGTTAGCGCTCTCAGCTAAAGCGTTTGGGAAATGGAAACTGAAACTGGGGAGCGCCGACGCTCTGATAAACAGCAGGGGGCACTCTCACAGTATTTGTAACTCCCAGTTTATCAGACAAAGTTTTGTTTTGACCTTTTTTACATTGTCAGCAGTAGCTTTCTAGCTAACTAGCATACATTTTTAACATTTTTTAACATTTGATTGTGTTTACGTTTCGGGTGAATGGCCAGTTACAGACATCACAGTTGATTGAGTGGTTTAGGGTTTCCTAACTTGAGATAAGAGGCTGTGAGATAAGATAAAGTTCTAATTTAAGATCAGATTTGCTTCTACGAATTTGTGAAAGATCTTATCTTGACCTGTCAGATCTTAACTTAAGACAAAAACATAGGAAGTTTCTGTGATACTGAAAATAAACCAACTGGAGCCGGAGGAACTCTAAGACCTGCAGGGCAGTAGTTCTGCAGAACCACCATGGTGGCATGAAAAGGCCTTAAACTGGAAAATCTGGTTTGGATGAAAAAGAGAATCTTGCATGATGAAGGGCAAAAATGCACTTCGGCTCCGACACAAAGGTCCTATATATACCCAGATCAGGCATAACATGATGACCATCTCCTTGTTTCTACACTCATTGTCCATTTTATCAGCTCCACTTACTATATAGGGGCACTTTGTAGTTCTACAGTTACAGACTGTAGTCCATCTGTTTCTCTGCATACTTTGTTAGCCCCCTTTTACCCTGTTCTTCAGTGCTCAGGACCCCCATGGACCCTCACAGAGCAGGTACTATTTGGGTGGTGGATCATTCTCAGCACTGCAGTAACACTGACGTGGTGGTGGTGTGTTAGTGTGTGTTGCGCTGGTCTGAGTGGATCAGACACAGCAGAGCTGCTGGAGTTTTTAAACACCTCAGTGTCGCTGCTGGACTGAGAATAGTCCACCAACCAAAAACATCCAGCCAACAGCGTCCTGTGGGCAGCGTCCTGTGACCACTGATGAAGGACTAGAGGATGACCAACGCAAACTGTGCAGCAGCAGATGAGCTATCGTCTCTGACTTTACATCTACAAGGTGGACTGACAAGGTAGGAGTGTCTAATAGAGTGGACAGTGAGTGGACACAGTGTTTAAAAACTCCAGCAGCACTGCTGTGTCTGATCCATTCGTACCGGCACAACTTGGAGATATAATCCCTCCAGGATAGGCCGTGCCTGATAAACCCCCAGGGAATTGTCCAGGGGACATCCTGATCAGATGCCCGAACCACCTCAACTGGCTCCTCTCAGAGTGGAGGAGTAGCGGCTCGACTCTGAGCTCCT